TTGAATTTCTATGGTAAACAGGAGAGAATTGCAAGTTCGGCCGACAACAGGAGAGTTGAGTTGTTCTTTAATTATTGAAGTCGAATTGCACCTCTACCGGTACGATATTATCCAAGCCTCACCCAATCCGACCCTCTCCGGTGCAGAAAGGAAAACCATCCCTCATTGAATTCTATGGACCATGGAATGGCAGTCAGTTCTCAAAAGCTTCAGGCTGGGAAATCTTCAGGTGGGAGGAATCTTCAGGCTGGGACCACAGCTTCAGGCTGGGACACAGCTTCAGGCTGGGACAACAGCTTCAGGCTGGGACACAGACTTCAGGCTGGGACAACAGTTCAGGCTGGGACCACAGAACTTCAGGCTGGGACCACAGCTTCAGGCTGGGACAACAGGCTTCAGGCTGGGACCACAGCTTCAGGCTGGGACAAAGCTTCAGGCTGGGCTGGGACAACAGCTTCAGCCGATTCTTCACCTCATGATTAATTCCATCAGCAGTTCCTGTATCTCTGCGTTTGTAGCCCTTATCTGAGCTTATTGTTGTCGTCCATGCACCTCCCTTTTCATCAGCCATAGGGCTTCTTGTTGGCATAGATTATGGTCTTAGTTCCAACCACTTTGACTTCGTTTTCCGATCCTGACACAGTCCCCGTAACTACAAGCCACAGTTTCCGCCACCAGTCCTCAGTTACTCATCCCGTGCTAGTAGCCTTCTCTGATCCCTGCTATGCTTCTTCTAACACTTGCTTCACCACTTTCAGTTAGTTGTAGTAGTAATACTAGTGCAGCCACTTCGAAGTTTTTGTTTATGGGTGATGGGTTACAGTAAAGCACTCGGGATGGCCAGCGGTGCGAGAAAAGATCCACCGGTCTGGCCTCTGGCCGAACCTTCCTGCCCTAATCCAATAGAAGTTGTCTAGGCAGCTCTGAGCTCTGAGATCTGAGAAGGTCTGAAGGTATAATTGGCGTCGGAAGACAGATGCTGTCGACTGAGTAACAGGCCTGTGTCGGCTAAAGACGACGGCCGGCACCAGAGGCCTGGAACGAGGGAGGCAAACACCAACGGGCATGCCAGTGAAAGTGAGCATGCGTTGTCGACTCTGGCAAGGACATGGCTGAGAGGGCAGAGAATGAATCAAGCGGACACTCGCATTTCATGGACACGCGGGAGTCGCCAACAGTTGGTAATTGCTTCGAGCGTTTGCTAATAAAATCTGAAGTGTATCGTTTGGTGCTTGCAGCTGTTGTTGTTTGATGTTTGATCAGGCGTCGCATCCATCACGAGGTCTCCTGCTTGATTTTTGTGTGTGGAAAGCTGATAAAGTGCTAGCTAATAACGATAGCTATAATATCAATCACGAGATCATCGGCGAGGAGGCTATGGATCGAATCCAACTTTTCGAAATGGCCCCAAGGTGGCTCGGCGGCAACACCGCAACACAACCCTACCGGTACCGCACGGGACTCTATACGTCGTCCACAAAAGTGAGGAGGACATACCAGTATGTGCCTTTGGCTGCAAACATATCTTTCGCCAGGGCTACTGGCCAACAGTGAAGGTCGATAATGCAACTCATTTAGCTAGCAGTAATGTAAATCAGTGCTTTGCGATTTTTGTCATTGTATCGTGCAGCCCTAACGAGTCACGGCAGTGGTTGTTACTGTGAACGTCGAAAGTGCCTTGAAATGCAGCCACAGTAAAGGCCTCCACAATCCCTGGACTGAACTCAGGCGTTCCAACCTCTATTATAGTCATTCATGCATGTGTCGTCTTTTCCACAATGTTATTCTCACTGCTCAAAATGTCCAAATCAGAGCATTGCCTGAACCCGCAAATGCGTGGCTGGACCCTCCAGCCTCTGCTGGTTCCCTGCAATCGCTCCGTTCATTGGAGGGCTGTAGTAATACTTCTGGAACTACTTGGGGAAGGATGGAGGGTATGCAGCAAAAGAAAATGTGATGACTAGAATGCTCCAGCCTTGACCAGCTCCAAGTCTCCGGCAGCCATGACATCATAGACACACTGGTCCTTGAGGTCTCCCCAATGCTCACAGGCCTTCTCAGCAGCAGCCTCAGCAATGGATTCACCAAGTCCACGACGACCAACCTTCTCATTAGTCGGCATAGTGCACTGCATGGGCCACTGGGGGGGCCTCTTGGTTTGGAAAAGTTTGGGTTCCAACTCCAGAATTTGCCATTCCATTCCAAAGGCATCAGCCTTGGAAATGACTGTTCCGTTACGGGCAAGCCACTTACCGGAACCAAATTCTCCCAAAAGACCCATGCTATCGCCGTATTCCTCCAAGCTGGCACCCACTGTCTTGACACTGACGAGATCCTTGAAGGACTGGACCACAATTTGCTTGCCCTCTCCTAGTTTGATCGTGAAAACATCTTGCTTGGGGCTGATCTTTTCATGAGTGACAGTGTACTTATCCATCTTATCCAGCTTGGCATTGGAGATACCATTCAACATGTATCCACCATAGGCACCAACCTCCAAGATATCAGTTCCAATCTGGACGGCAGCAGACTCAATGAAGGAGTACTGGTAACGGGCCTTTGTGCGAATGTGGATCTCCAATCCAGTGCCTTGTGAGAACTTTGGGTTACTGATGAAAACCAAATCACATTCTCCATGGAAATCATACCACTTGTCTGCCCACGTCTTGAAGTGGGGGCCACCCGTGACAGCTCCATCATTTGAAGCACCAATGGGAGAGGCTGTTGGACTGCTGGTGTGACAAGGGGTGATAATCACAGCCCATTGAGTTAGTGTAGCAAGCACAGCCCATTCAGTTGGTGTAGTGGTAGCCCCTCCATCCAAAAGCAGATGCCAGCTACCTTGTGAAGAGTAGCCATTGAAATTGGCAAGGTTATCGAATGGTTGAACAGCAGATCCATTATTCACAAGGTTTGAACTGCAGTCAATTGGATTGGTGCTTGCATTGTCATCAAAGACAACATGTAGATTTCCAGATGCAGGACATGGCATTTCCACAAGTTTTTCGTAATTTGAATGACCGTCACTATCAGGATTTTTGACGAGAGAGAAACGCAGATCATTAGGAGCATCAATCTCTTCAAGGTCTACTTCAAGGTCAACATCACAGATTTCAAAGTTGTCATTGACCACAATGACATCTTGACCAATTTCCTCAGCATCAGCAATCAAGTCTTTGTTGATTACTCCAGAATCATAACGGACAGCAAGAGTGTGATGCAGAATAGGACCAAAGGCAAGGGCAGTGAAGAGGAGTTTGGAGGACAGCATGGCAGCAAGGGTTGTTGTATGGCTGCAATGAGGAAGTGGGGCTCTGGTGGATCCTGAGTAAAAAATGAGAGAGAATGTGTTCTGAGTGTTTTTTTGGCTTTGACGCAAGGGCGATTCGAGTGTCTTTTTTGGGTGCACAGTATGTTATTTCTATTGGGAACTCTATCTATTTCAGTGCAAAAACATAGTCTACTCCCCCTTTTTTTGGCTCTGCTGCGATGCACTGCTGGGGCTACGAGAAAACCAGTCAGGGGATGAGCAAATGTTGCTATAGGGCTGTAGTGTACTCTTTTCCATACCGTAGCAGTGATAGTTTGGGGGATTCCAGTTACTAGGTACTTGGCTAGTGTGGCACTCTGTGGGTTCAGTTCGCTGGAAAAGGAATCCAGTTTTTTACTTTGGCTGGTTATTTTCGATTGGATTGGACTGGATTGCATTGGATTGCATTGAATTGGATTGGATTGCATTGAATTGGTACTTACTATACAAATAACAGTACTTTCATGGATCCAATTCAATTCAATCCAATCCAATTCAAACGAATCCAATCCAATTCAACTGATTTGACGGCCAAAATGCGAATTTTAAGTTTCAACTGACGTTTTAGTTGGTATTAGCTCAGTTTCTCTGTCTATTTCAATGTACCGGTAACTTTCGCTGTACTAGCTGGTGCTGTAGCATCAAATGCAATGTAGCCCAATAAGCAAGTTTGCTCATCCCCTCACAGTTTTTTAAAGCCTGAGCCAAAACCGTCGTTTGGTCGCAGTAAAAGTAGTACCATTAGGGACTCGACGTGACGTCCAGGTTTCAGGTCACTTCACGATTGATGGCGCAAAAGACGTGAAGCTTACCACCTGAAGTAGACTATATAGTAGGGCTCATGCTTTTTTAAAATTAAATGCAGCAGGTTTATTCCAGCTCCAATCAAGAAGCATCGCAATGTTAGTGGTAGTACTGTAGGACTTATGAGGACTAAAAGAGCCAGTGGCACGGCTGGCCAGAGGCTATGATACCGGTACCGGTACCGGTACCGGGCTTGTTTCCTTTGGACTCGTCACAATTAACAGCTCCATCTCCCATTTTTCCTCCAACAGCGCAATGAAGCGCCCGGGTGCACAATGACAACCACAACCTGCCATCACGGATGATCATCGCCCCACAACACTAATAGTCTATTATTTTTAACATTAACGATGGTTTTGTTTTGCAGCGCAAGAGATACCATACTATAGGAGAGTAATGCTTCTTGCTGGGCGAACACTCCTTGCTTGCTCCAGCGCAATATGAAGTTGATCGATCGCTGCTACTTGCTAGACTATTATAAATATGTACCTAAGCTTCGGGTGACAAGACAAGAGTGTGGTTGGACGATTGTCGTCGTCGGTACTGTACCGGAAAGACCGCTGCTGATTACCGAGGACGACACGAGAGCCTGCTGTTGATCGATCGATAGATAGCTAATGAGGAGACTATCTGCAGCCTGAACAAAGGAGATCGTCGTCGAAGGCAACACTACTACTACATGTAGTAGGATATCGGGCTGCTACCCGCTGCACGAAAACGCAATCACGAGGCGAGTGGATCCTTCTATCGGATTTGATCGAGTGAGTGACAGTCGCAGCCATGGTTGGTACTGTGCAGAAAAGACCTCCGCGATCCCTCGACTGAACTCAAGCTGTCCAACATTTCCAACCTCTCGTCATTCATGCAAGTTTGTTTCTCTCACTGCTCAAAATGTCCAATTCAGACCATTGCCTGGACCTGCATGGGAGGGCAGTGACTCAACCTTGCTGATCTTCAACCGAACGATGTCGACCATTTCAACGACGGCCAAGAGGTCAGCGTGGTCTTCTTCAAGCGTTGTTTCACGAATGGAAAGTGACTTTTGGTATTCTCTGAGAGCGCCAATGTAGTCACCTTTTGAAAAAAGGGCAAAGCCAATACCTTCATGAGCAATGGCAATGTCTGGGTCCAATTGTCCGCACATCACCTTCCGAATTGACAGCGCCTGACGATACAATGCAACCGCGTTGTCAAAGTCCCTTTCCCGTAGCATTTCTTTCCCGGCCTCGTCGTAGATTGACAGAAAAGCTTGGTCTCTCTTGACCGGTGCATCTTTCAGTGATGCAATGGATCTGGCATGATGTCGCACAACATCTCTACCATTACCCAACGCAAGAGACACTATGCCGAGCTTAGCATACAATCTGGCAACCGGCAAGTGGCAATCGACCTTCTCCTGGTGAATCTTCAAAGAGCGTTCATAGAACTCAAGTGATCTTTCAAGAATCCCCATGCGCCTCAGAGCATCACCAATTTGGTCGCAGGTGTCGGCAACGGCGGGGTGCTTTTCTCCAAGCAAAGATTCCTGTATTTCAAGGCACCTGTTCAGCATTCCAACGGCTTCACTCGGGTCTTCCTGCAGAGATGCCAAGGTTGCGTATCCAAACGCAGTGTCGGGGTGTCCCCCTCCGAGCATTTCTTCAAAGACCGCAACAGCAGCCTTCACTAGCTGCAATCCTTCCCTTCATTTTCCGTTCTGGGAATAAAGCAAACCAAGCCGGCAGGATGTGACCGCCACGATGCGGCTCCTACCAAACTTCTTCTCCTGTACATCTTGGCAACGTTGCATGAGTTGCAAAGCGTTATCCACGTCGTTCATCTCCGTCAGCAACCGCCCCAAATGAGAGTACACCTCTGCAGTCTCTACGTGATCCTCCCCTAATACTTCCTCATGTACCACCTTGGCTTTCCAATACAGTTCCGCTGCCTCGTCTATGCGACCAAGAGATGCGAGTGCTCTAGCCACGTCCGTGTAAGCCTTTGCAGTTTCCAAGCGGCTGGGAACAAGCAACTTTTCACGCGTAGCCAGGCATTGCCTGTACATGGTGAGAGCCGCCTCGCTATCGCCGTAAAGGTCAAACAGGTCACCGACTTGCTTGCAAAAGACAGCGTGAGACAACCGGTCAGCAGCGTTATCATCATCCAATGCCTCGAGAGTCTGGGTGGAACGTTGCTCAATCACTTCTCGAACCCAATGCCGCAGCCTTCCTTTCACTTGAACATTGAGAGACTGAAATCCAATGCTCCCTCGGACGAGCTCTAGGATTCTTGTCTTGTCCTCCGGTACCGATGCGTCGGCCTTCTCAACGTCAATTTGATTTAGAGCTTTGTAGAGGTTGTCGATCCCCCGTTCACCCAAACGCCGCCCCCATGTCGAGAACAGCTGAACCAGCATCCTATCCATATCGCGCGGTGGCATAATGACAGCCAAGTGACAACCTTCTTTGATGGCCCAAAAGATCTCAAAAATGCACCAAATCCGCTGGAGGTTGGCAGGGTCGCCCCAAGGTGTCATCATTACCAGGATACGTCCAATCCCTTGCACTCGCCCTCGGAATGCTTTCTCGAAATCATCTGTTGAAGTGTCGCGTGCCTCCGCAACTCGATGTTGATTCATGCAAAGGCAACATATCCAGATGTATGTCTTTCGGGGGTCCAGTCGGTTTTGCTCGCAGAATCCCACGAGCGTTTCCACCACATCTTGGACTGTGTAACTCCAAGTCCAACTGAGCATATGCGTTGCACAACCAACGTGGTCTGACCCTTCCAAACAGTGGACATACGCTGCCCCCCTTTTGCCGTCTACGGGACAAATGACATCAGCCCCCTTTTCACGAACGAAACCGCTGCCTGCACGGAGGTCTTCAATCTCGTAGAACTTCGACTTCTTCGATAGACAAGGAGTCATCGTCACTTCCGCCATGAATACGTTCTCTAGATGATGGACACTGACACCCAGAAACTCTGGTCGCTCTGCACAAGCCACGTTACAGATTCTCGGACACGTGAGCTCCTCGTTGTCCGTCACAGTGGGCAACCTTCGCGACAAAGTAACACGAAACTCCGACCTACGACGCGTGGCTTCTTCGACAATCACGTAGTGATCTGCGCTGCTAGTCTTGATCACGTGTTTGCCGTTGTCTTCTGTCATGATCTGAAGCAATTCACGTCCATCGGCACTCTCCAAGGAAACTATATCTTCCCAGAACCAAGAGTGGTGCTTTGTCGTTTCCGTTTCTTCAAATCCCACGCCCATCGAATTGATAGTAATGGTTCCTCTTGCTTCTTTATAGACCGCGTGCTGGAAGATGGTATGCTTTGATAGATCTGTTCGTTTGGACTCGTCCTTGTCGTTGTCTTCGGTGTGGGCTTCATCGGAAGTTCTTGGAGCACAACACAAAACACAGTTGTTTGCGCCACCTGGATTAGCAAAGGTGCAGGTGGCACAAACCCACTGCTTTTCATTCGGAGTAGCAGATAGAGGTCTAGACGCTTGGCATACGGAACATGACAGGTAAGTCTCTGGGTTCTCGGCAAATGTGCAGACACTGCAAGCCCAGGGGTGTTCCCCTGTCGTAGCATCTTCCGTCGAACCTACACCCTGCTCCGTGTCTGTCCCCACCCCTCGTTCCTCAAAAAAGTCTTGTATGGCAGTCTTCTCCCGGCATCTGGCGAGCTCGACAGCGTCCCTCTCTTCCGAATCCAGAATAGTCCAATCTGCTCCCTTTTCAAGTAGCATGGCCACAATTGCCAGACTACCGTTTTGAACGGCCAAGTGGAGTGGTGTTTCTCCTCGTACCGTCGTTTGTGCGTTGGGGTTGGCACCTTCATCGAGTAGACGCTGCACCACAGGAGCATGCCCATTCTTGCATGCCATATGCAACGGTGATTCTCCAGTATCGCTGGTCGCCCAACTAGGGTCGATACCGGATTTGACAAGTGCTACAACATCCCGTAAGTTTCCATCTTCTGCGAATTTCAATAGAGAACGTGCCATTGACTCGTTCACAGGGACTTGTGGGCGTAAGTCCACCATTCGGTAAGAGCTGTCCATCGATGAATCTTCAGATGGGGGATTTTGGAGAAAACTGATCAAGTCATGCATGTTACTCTGCCGAGCCAGGTCCAACGGTGTCAATCCTTCTTCGTTCTCTTGCTCGAGATCCGCGCCATGCTTGAGCAGCAGCGCAGCCATCTCAGTGGTCCCGTTTGCCAGTACAGCTATATGAAGAAGCGTGTTGTTTTCGTGGTCACCACAGTTGACAAAAGTCTCGCCTTGAGGGAGACTGGTTTTGAGTTTGAATATATGTCCTGCTTTCACGGCAGTCTGCAATTCTAGCAGATATTCTTCGCCCAAGATCGTTTGTTCCAGATAGGTGCGCAACTGTCTCCTTCCACGTATCTTGGCAATGTCCCATGGGGTCAATCCGGAATGAGCCTGGCAGTCTAGGTCAGCCCCGTGGAAATGGAGTAGCATTGCCATCTTGACGTGTCCACGATAAGAGCAATAGTGTAGTGGGGTCTGTCCATCTCTGCGTTTCGTGGCTTTTGAAGACGCCCCTCCCTGCTCCAACAACACTTTCGCCACTTGGATGTGTCCATTGAGAGCCGCCAAATGCAGCGGGGTCTCACCTAACACGTTGGCCGCCCTGGCATTACCACCATTCTCTAGCAAGAGGATCACGATCTCACGAAAACCCCCAGCTGCGGCGCAATGAAGAGGAGTTTGTCCGTGTTCACTTGCAGCATTCACATCTGTGTCGAGGAGCCATAGAAGTTCCTGCACTTCTTGTAATCCTCCTCGGCGACAGGCTTCATTCAGTGGTGTTCCTCCCCCATGAACCTCTGCGAAGACCGCCGATACATTGTTTCCTCCTTCTCCCAATCCCTCGAGTATGTGGACGTTGCTCTCCACCTCACGCCTTTTCATCTCAAAGTCGCTGCTTGAAGGGTTCATTTTCGATTCCACTCTTTATAAAGAAGAAAATTAATGATCCTTCTGATCTGAGTGATCGTCTATGCGGACTCCTCTTGCTTCGCACTTCGCACCTCGAGTCGTGGATTTTACATCTTGTCGGTGGTGTCTTGCAATTAAGTGGGATTCAAGTCATTCGATACATGTGGATGGACTCTGTAAAACTAATAATTTTAAAACTGCTTGGTACTCCCAGCATCTGAATACCAGTAAGAATGATTATGGGTTAGAGGTGACTACGTCTAGCTAGTAGTAGGATGGTAGGAGGGCATGGTAACGTTATGACTTCTGATGTGGGAGTCACGACGGTTTATCCCCCTGCATGCCGCTGGACTTTTGGTCGCCACTGAGGACAAGATTTAAAACACATACCCGCGAGTCGCCTCCAACGCATTGTAGCCATCCCTTGACTTTCACTGGGATTGACTTTCACCCGTGAAAGATTCTATCGGACTGATATTTGATTTGATTGAATCGAATCATTGGATTGAATTGAATCTCAGCGCCATCCGCAGGGCAGCCAACGTGGGCACTCCACGCGCAGTTCTGCCCATGAAGCATGGATTTAGCTGAGGGAGGTTCAAAGAGCGAAGCTACAGTGTCATGCATTTGCATTGACTGCATGTGCAATCCACCGAATCACAATCAACAAGAATCTGCAATAAGTCTGGGTTGGAACAAAGACTGCTTGGCACCATTCCGGATAAATTGCTGTCATGCAAGGCCAATTCAGTCAATGATGTCAGCAACCCCAGCTCAGATGGAATGCTGCCCGATATTGCAGTTGTACTCATGTTCAAGAAAGCCAAGGCTGTCATTAATCCAAGCTCACTTGGAAGGCTGCCCGTCATTTTCCTGTTTTCAGACAAGCCCAAGCGTGTCAATGATGTCATCAAGCCAATTTCAGAAGGGACCATTCCGAACATCCTGTTGGTTTCCAATGACAAACTTTGAAGCTGGTCCAGCTGAGTCAACTCTACGGGAATTGTTCCCGTTAGACTGTTCCTATTGAGTATCAACTCTTGAAGTTGGGTCATCTGCTGGATTTCCACTGGTATCGCACTAAGCCAGTTCGTTCCCAACCTCAAGGTGTGGAGTTGGGTCCAGTCACAGAGCTCTGCAGGGATACTTAGTCGGAGAGAGCAATTAGTACAGCCAATCACTTTCAGTGACGGAAATGACTCTGGTGATAAACTTGATGGTAGCAGACTCAATATGGGTTTATGTTGGTGATTCCCTGACAAGTCCACTTCTTCCAACTGACCAAGCAATGAGAGCTCTGGTGGGATAGATCCAATAAAATCCATTATGGTGTCGGATTTTCTCATAGTAATTCGTTTTACATGGCCATCAGTGTTGCAATGCACTTGTTTGCTGGAGAAACTCTCGCCCCATTCACACTCATCTATCTCATAGTTCAGCCATGTCCAAAATTGTGGGCCACCGAATTCGTAGAAGAAAGTCGCCAAAGCAAATCTCTGTTCCCGTCGCCAGCTTTTGTATCGACGTAGGTTGGGATCTAGAGTCAGCCAGGTGAAAGCTTGGTACTGGGATGACGACTGATCCAATGCAATTAATTCCAAAGTGGAATTGGCTGCATTGGGGAGCAGCACCCCATCATCTTGCTCGACTTGGTCAACTTCCACTGTTGGTGATTGTGTTGGTACTGGATCGGAGATTTCACCTTCCGTTGAATTATCAATTGTTGTATTCTCCAGTGATGTGCCGTCTTCCTGTCCACCTCCACGAACAGCCAGTGGAATGGCAATAATTGCGAGAATCATCACCAGTACTAGTAGCAGCATGCCTACCCTGATTAACATCATCTTTTTCTTTCTTTCAATTGCGGCATCAGCTGCAGTCCCATCGGGATTATGCGTTAGGGGCCCAGACACCCACTCTACATGAGCGGTCGGTATTGCACTTTCCTCATCCGAGGACTCTGCTCTGGTCTCTTGAGGAATATCAGGCTCTGGCCCAGTCCCAGAAGGTCCCAAATTAGAACCATCCACTCTGGGCAGCACTGCAACCATTTCTTCTTTTTCTTCTTGCAGTAGTTCTAGCGGATTAGAGGATGCAGATCCCAGTAAATCCAATTGCAGTGGTTCCAGTGCCTCATAGTCGGCACCAGGTGCCCCAGAGTAGGCACCAGGAGTAACAGAGCCTGGGGGTACCCGGTGCTTGGCCATTGGTTGCCCAGTTTGATTGTCGCAATATTCCATTTTGCCATTTCCAGAATTAGATTCCGAACTGGTCCGAACGTCAGAAGCAGGATTGGGAAGAGGGTCATCCTCAATTATTCCAGCTGCAATGAATAGTGGATCATTAGCAAATTGACCCTGTTTGAAAGAGTCGTCATCAAAATCCACATAATTGGCACCCAATTCTGCCCTCGCTCGAGATTGTTTAGCAGCATGGTATCGCTGCGATAACGCGTGAGACAATGCCAGTTCGTCTTTCTGTCGCTGATCATTATCCTCCACATGATTTGCGAAAACTGCTGTACTAGTAGACACTGGTTCCTCACTTGCTGTGTCCGTATTCTTCTTGTTTTCTGCCGCCCGCCTTAGCAGTTCTTCCTGCTTGATCTCTTCCGGTGTCTTGATGAAGTCTCCTGAGGTCAATTCAGCACTGGCGGCATTACTCCGCTCCTCGGTAAGCTGGCTCAAGCACAGATCCCTGTCTGAGGCCCCATCTTCTTCTTGGCCATTGGGTAGGGGAGGAGGGGGAGAGGACATGGCTTCTGGGATATATTATCCTATTACAGCTCCTAATTCACTTCCTCAATTACTGCGGTGTATCAAGATGGATGCAATGTGGTGAGATTTACTAGTACATCAAGTAGGTGGTGGCCCCGTTGATCTCATTAGCTGGCGGAATGATCGTTGGGAAAGAGGTGCTTGGACTCGATCGGATTTGTGCTTCCCTTGCGATGCCTTCATCGATCAGTTCGAACTCGAGCTCCGGAAACTGTGAGGCAGCTGGTAACTTACTTTCTGTGACGTACCCCCTTTCTCATTCGGCAGAATGAATACAATGTCCTGCTCATGTCGCTGTGTAAAAACAGTCCGTCTGCCGTGTCCTTCAGACATGAAAAAATGGTTTTCATCATGCTGGATTGCAGCAAGCCACCTGGCTGTGAATTCTTGCTTGGGGTCTACCGGTAGGGGGGGGGCACAGAAATGATACATACATCGTAAGATCTTGAAGCTGGAAGGGGCGTACACGGTAGCTATGTGGTATGTGGTGCCTCTCAACTAAACCACATGTCATGTAGAAGCCACTCGGCGCATTCTTGGAGATTTTATGTTGCGTCAATTGCCCGGCCATGTGGTTGTGGTTACCACGAGCACATCGTTCAGATGGCTGTTGCATTGTCTGGAGAGTCTAGAGACTAGCTAGCGCTAGAGACGGGTAGGGTCAATCCTAGCACGCCACCAATCTACCCTACCACCAGCAACCAGCCAGAGGATAAATGCAATCAGAATCGAATGTACAACATATGTAAAAAGTTGGTAACCAAGCCCTGTCATCAGCGGTTCAAAGTCATGTATGATCGCCATACAATAGATGCCATGTGCCATGGATAGTTGTTGAAGAGATTTTTTTTCACAGTCAAAATAATAGAGCTCACAGTGTGACAGCGTTCTCGAGTATTTTAATTAAAAGAAAACGCTCTGTCTGTCTCCATGTGACCATCGTGACCGGGCCCGAACACAATGCCATCGTCACAGAAACACTGTTCTTGGTAAGTTGGAGTCGTTTTCTTTGGGGTAACAATTGCAGCTACTATTTTAAAATACGGTAGCTACTAGTAGTAGCAAGCAATCTGTCATTATTACATACAGGATCTCTTGAGATAAAAAGGACAACAAGAAGTGAGTCGCTCACTAACATTTTTAATCAGAGCTTCCATGGTAATAACTGAAGTTTAGAGTAGGGTAGTCGTCCACGGAACGAGCCATCGAGGGCCAGGTTTTCATGGATGATGGCTTGATCAAGTAGTCTAGATCTTCGAACCTAACTGGTGGCTGGAGAATTGCGACATGATGTTCTTTGTGGAGGGGGGCTCTAGCAACCATTTCCTGTCTCGTCAAGGAGAAACTTTATCAGAATCGAATCCTGTCATGCCGCCCTTCGCATCCCCATTGCGTGGCCCTTGTTTGAGAGCCATTTTCAAGGTTGTCTCCTGGCTGTGATAGTTCCGTAAACTCTCCACCGCGCTTTTGGCTTGCTTCGTGCCATCGACGTGCCATACTAGATCTACCGCCTTACTTTCGGTCACTTCTGAGTCACAGTCATTTTTGGGACAAAAGATCCAACATCACTCTTTTTCTTGGACGATTCATCAGTGATCATTCGGCACCAAGATAGCAAAGTAACAGGGCGGTAAAGTGGTAAAGCAAGCTCTTTGCAGGTCCTGTCCCGGTGATATAATCTCTCTCAAGCCCCGGCAAAAGTGGAGTGAGTCCTTAATACTGTTGAGGTCACACTTTTTTGGAGTCCAGTGGCTTTGTCTACCCTTTTGCAAACCATCCAACAGTTAGTTAGTCTACTTTGACAACAATAAAATTGAAAACCATGGGTTTCTTTGCCAAGATTCTGGGAAAGAAGGAAAATGCTGCAGCAGCTCCCACTCCAGCTCCCCGGGCAGCGGCTGGCAAAAAGGCGTCTGCTGGCAAGAAAATGCCCAGCGATGGACCTAGAAGCGCCCCAGCTGCTGCCACCAAGAAGCCTGCTGCCAAAAAGCCACCCGCCAAACCTCCTGCTAAGAAGCCGCCTGCGAAGAAACCTCCTGCTAAGAAACCTCCTGAAAAGAAGCCACCTGCCAAAGCTCCCGCTAAGAAACCTCCTGCAGCTGCACCCAAAAAGCCAGCTGCCAAAGCTCCTGCCAAAGCTCCTGCTAAGAAACCAGCTGCTGCTGCTGCTAAAAAAGCTCCTGTCAAAGCTCCAGCTGCCAAAAAGGCCACTACTAGTAGTACTGGTGCCCTGCCTTCCCTGTCAGAGCGCAACAGTTCCAACTATACAGCCACGGACGTGGAAGCTGCCTTTCGAGCCGCTCCCGCGCACAAGTGGAAGTTGCAGACATATCAATTCTCAGGTTCTCTGTCCTTTTTTGCCATGGGAGAACAAAAAGAAATCAAGAAAAAGTCCATCCCACAGGCCATTAAACTCTTTCAAAGCAATCCGGCCGAGTATATTGGTCTCATGTATCAGACCAGTATGAAAACATGGCAACCCAAAGATTGTCAATACACACTCATTATGCGCAAGGGAACCACGCAACTAAAGCCACAAGGCGTCGATCCCAGCGGTTGGATGACACTCATGATTCATGAATATCAACAATTACCACCCCTCACGGAATTGCCACGCAATAAGCGCGACAAGTATACCTACAACATGACACACAAGGGACGCAAATTGCCCAAACCATTATTGCCCGGGAGGGGCATGGGCATTGCCGATTTGCCCAGTCTCAAAATTATCGGAGACATTGATCCGTCCGATATTCATCAAGGACGCGTCGGTGATTGTTGGTTGCTATCGGCCATTTCCGCCGTGGCCGAATTTGACGGTGCCATTAAAAAACTCTTTCGCAAAACCAAACACATTGATCGGAAACCACTCGATGATGGGAGTATCAATTTTTATACCATTTCCCTCTACGATCTGACGACGTGGAAAGAAGTCGATATTGTCATTGACGAATCGCTCTGTGCCGATCCCGCTGGCAATGGAAATTTGCTGGCATCCAAGCCATCGGAAGATGGTGAATTGTGGGTCTGTTATCTGGAAAAGGCACTTGCCATTCATTGTGGTGGATGGGATGAAATTACGGGTGGACAATGCACTCATGCCTGGGCCATTATGACGGGATGCAAGGAACAGTATACCATTGCCCGCAATCCCAAAACGAAAAAGTTCCGTTGCATGGCAAAATTCAATCCACAAACCAAACAATGGGCCAAACACTACAATTCACCGCATGGCCCCGATGGTGGCAATTGGGTCTGTCCGTGGCCACAAGTCGGTGGCGGTGGTCCCGCCACGTTGGAACTCACGGAAGAGCAAGTCTACCAACGATTGTGTGCCTTTGATCGTTCCAACTTTATCGTGGGAGCCGGCACCAAGGGATTGTCCGACAAGAACAAGACGGGTGGCATGGTCGACAATCACGCCTATTCCGTCATTGATTGTCACCCACAAGTGGCTGGAACCAAAATCGATCTGCTCAAAGTACGCAACCCGTGGGGATCGGGTGAAATTGAAGATGGTGACTTTGATGACGATGGTCCTGGCTGGGACCGGTATCCACAAATCAAGGCAGAACTCAAGCCCGTCGTGGCCGACGATGGCATCTTTTATCTGACCAAGGACGAGTTCTTTCAATTCTTTGATCACATTTACGTCAGTGCCTCCAACATGACAGAATTTAAAGAGGACTAACTAGCCAGCTAGCTGACACAACCAAACGAACCTAGAAAAACGAAGAGGAAATGGAGCCAGCTGTTTGGCAGTGTGTATAGTATAATATTGGATGCAGGAAACGCAAAACAGAGTGAAGTTGCCCTTGCCGAGTAGAGTACAGAAGTGGATAGTAAACTAGTAGTGATGTCGCCTTTGACATTTGCACTATCAATGATGGAATCTACAGTAGCCTTGGCCGGGGCCAGACACATGACGGGCACACAATTCAGGATTCGCTCTCATAAGGGACACAACAGAGGCAGAGATTGCAGACTCATTTCTACAGAGTGGTACAAATTTGAAGTATGCCAGCGAAAGCGCGTCCCGTGCACTTTCGGCACTGAAGGGCCAGGTTTGTGGTGTCAACACGAATTCAATCAACTAAAAGGCGAGGACCCCTCGGGGACCCCTCAACAATGGTTTGAATGATAATGGCGTGGCGCAATAACCACCAAGGTCGGCGTCTCTCGTTCCGATGCATAAATTGCTGGTGGAATAATCGTAGGAATAACGAATGAAGAGTCAGTCCCCGTATTTTATGTACTACGCGTTTTTGTAATCCTTGCGAAGGTTGCAGGTCAAAGGCCGGTAAACGCAGCACTCATTCTGTGCTGGGTAAACCAAAATGCGCAGCCACGCCCATGAGTAGTTAGTTGAACATGAACATTTTGGTATTTCTGCGGATGGATCGATGCCGCACGAGAATGAATCAAACAGTTATGCATATAGTGAGTAGATGGAATCATAGGACATGGGCGGTCGGAACAGTGGGCGCGACAATAATGGTGGATCCATGGCTGTCTGACTGCTGTCGGTCTGGTTTGTTGTTGTCTTGCTGGCCGGAGTCCAAAAACACTTGGGTCCCCGGTGATGTCGAATCTCACAGGTCGAATTGTACCCCAACAAATACCCCCAATGACCAAAACTCCCTTGGCCATGTGCCACACATCGAGTACTTCCCAAAAGGTACAAATCGACAAAGGCATCGTAAAAGTCCTCTGGTACCAGTGATGGATCACTGACATCGTACATGTCCAAGTGAAGGGGCTGTTTCTGGTAGGCTCCATTGTTGGTTGTGGCCACGACTGTGACATTTTTGCTGCGTCCATACTCCATGGCTGCCTTGACAGCAAATGCCGTGTCGGAAGCCACAAAGAATGGCCCACCGGGCCGCAACATGGAAATACAATTCATAGCATGGTGTGTCCTTCGTGTCATGTCCTTCTCTGATCGTTCCTTGACGGCATACACCGCACGGATATGAGCCGAAGCATATTCTCCGGGGCGGATCCCCAATTTGTCAAAATTGTCCTTGACGCGCTCCGCCACAGGAGGAGCCGGAGTAAAAACCCAATGCCACATGTGTCGAAACATTTGGAGTCTGGCATGCTGTTGTTCATCCCCGTTTAGTGGATTTTCATCGTACCACTCTTGACCATAGTCACTGGCTTGCATCTCACAGATCATGACTTGCATTCCAGCACCAGTGGCATTGGCGAGTCGAACAATGTCTTGTTTTCTTCCACGAGCCGGCTTGGCCAAGACTGCATCCACCATGTAATGGGGTACACGCCAATCCAATCCACCTTGAGGAGGCAATAGATAATGCTCCAACGCAAAGGGTTTGTTCCAATATATCAACAAGATTCGATTGGTTCTGGCGGCCACTTTCAGAAAGAATGGAAGTGGTTTCAATCGATCCGTCAATCCTCCGGCTCGTTCTCCTCGTCGAGCCACCATGACGAGATAGCGATTGGGCAGTAAATTCCAGTTGGTCTCATTCAGCCGAGCCCGAGTTTCTTCATGCCATGTCGCATAGTCCTGCATCCAAGCAGGCAGGTTGGTGGTAATGGTGTCTGGTGGTGGAGTTGGAGGGTCGGTAGTATGTATACTCGCTGTGATGTTAGGTTGTGCCAGTGTCTGGTTAGACTTCTCGAGGTGAATTGTTGTTGTCACATTGATATTCCCAGCATCATCTTCCGATAGTGAGCCGTCTTCCAGATCCAGAGTAACATCTGTAGCTCTCGGAGCCACTTGCAAGAGGCGCGAACTGATTTGCCAGCATCCCAACCAGGAAACAATCAGTACGTTGATCACAATCAGTAGCCGGGCGTCGGAAACGGCAAACTTGGTCATCTTGGTCGCTGATTGTAATATTGTGTGCTGTGCTGATTATTAACAACTACTAGTAAAAGTTTGCTTTATGCCCAAAGCATTTGCAATATCATTTCCCTTTGGTTTGGGATGGATGGGAATATCCATTGGGAGGGTGATCGTAACAGAACTGGGATTGGCAAACAGTGAAGGGTGGTTCAATGACTGCTTTGTGACCTTTCAGACCAAACTTACTTTACATGTACCTCGGCAGTCTATCTGCCTGAGCCCTCACCCTCACCCCCTTTTTTGTATTTCCTGTTTCCTGTTTCCTTTCCTGCTTCCTGTTTCCTGCTTCTGTTTCCTGTTCCGGTGAAGCAAAATATAGGGATGAGATAGGCACAAGCCAACTCTACAAATTTAGGGGTAGGAATAAATCATGGATATTCAAGGTCAGTGCACTCAACACAATAAGCCAGCAGAAGCTACAAAAGTTACAGGTACATACCGGAGTGACAGCTGTAAATTATGGTTAGCGGGGGCAACACACGACGAAGTCGGGTGTTGTCGCCAGGGCTACCTTAAATAAAAAGAAGGTTATAATGAGGGAATGATACGGGCGGCAACACAGACGATCGGTGTTGTCGCCAGGGCTACCTTGAAAGAAGGGTGCAATCTCAAACATGTCATCCTTCTTCTATCTGTCTTTCTGCCGAGGTATCGCAGCTCCCGCTGACTTAAAAATTAAAAAGACTTCAGTCACTTTTTGCTAGAATCGTTTCAGATAAAACCTGAATTGACCGATCCAAGAAGGCGTCTCTTTCTTGTTGAAATTGAACATGTACATTATCCTTGGGACCCAGCCTACCAGATACCAGACCTACCCTATGACTGAACACCAACACAAGGATTCGCTTCCAATGCTAGCTACCATAGGAGCTCCTCAGAGCCTAACAGGGCACACAGAGCGATTGTAGACTCATTTCTCCAGTGGCACTTCTGGTCTTCCCGACACTCACAGGCCTTTCGGGTTGCAGCCTCAGCAAGGATTCACTTAGGCGGCGACCATCTGACTTGGCACTGCAATAGTGCGCTGCGCAGGGCTCGAGGTACCATTTTGTCTGGAAGAGCTGGGGCTCAGTCTGGAGCAGTGAAAGTGCTACCGGTGCTATATGGAGCGAAGACTTTCAGGTATCATACATGCAGCCATACTACATTCTTAGTCAACATAATATCTCTCTGCAAGCAAAATTTGCATGCTGTATACCTGTTTCTTCTCCTTCGGATCAAGATTTTAGCCTTCTATCGTCCAAGATGTCAGCGCCCATAGCTGCAGTGTACTGGTAGTGTAGCTGGCGACAGCCCAAAGCAAAACATAGCACTTGTACATGTATTGTGCCCCAAACCCCAAACTCCAAAACGCCACAGCGGAACTGACTCGACTCGACTCGACTCGACTGACTCGTCACTCAAAACCTACCGGTTCCGAAGTGTTTTCGAGGAAAAGAAGTTCTGTCCGAGCTTCTGTCCGTGTAAAAACTCCCTGTTTTGTGATATGATCACGAAGGCAGGAAGAAAGTCATACATCTACTGAGTAGATGTACATGACATTGTAGTATAATATGTTTAAAATGTGGTAGTCTATGTTTAAATGTGGTCCTGTACCGCACATTCGTACTGTAGGTACATTGTCTGGATGATTTCGATCTTCTTCGTTCTTCGGATTGGTAACGAAGTTCGAAAGGCTTAAAGAATGCTTTACTGTCTCTTTTACGTTTTATGTTCCCTTCCAATAAGACATCCAGACAGGAACTGGCAACAAACAGTTCGTTCAGTTTTATTCCGCCTCTTTCTGCGGTCTGCTTTCATCGATCGTTCGACCTGTTCATTACCACATACATTACCACCCCTCTGCCTAGCTTCGCCCCGGTCGCTCCTTAACGTATCTACTTAGTATTTATTTTTCTATCATTCGATCATCTGTATACAAATCGGGAGCACCTCCATCCATCTTCATACCATAGCATTTGAGTACTGTATTCTGAAGGATAGAGCCAAAGAGCCATGTCCTCTCCCCCTCCCCCCCAACCCAATGGCAAAGAAGAAGATGTAGCCTCCTCAGACTTGGATCTGTGCTTGAGCCAACTTACCCAGGAGCGGAGTGATGCCGCCAGTGCTGAATTGACCTCAGGAAACTTCATCAAGACACCGGAAGAGATCAAGCAGGAAGAACTACTAAGGCGGGCGGCAGAAAACAAGAAGAATACGGACACAGCAAGTGAGGAACCAGTGTCTACTAGTATAGCAGTTTTCGCAAATCATGTGGAGGATAATGATCAGCGACAGAAAGACGAACTGGCATTGTCTCACGCGTTATCGCAGCGATACCATGCTGCAAGACAATCTCGAGCGAGGGCAGAATTGGGAGCCGAAAATTTGGATTTTGATGACGACTCTTTCAAACAGGATCAATTTGCTAATGATCCACTATTCATGGCAGCTAGAATAATTGAGGATGACCCTCTTCCCAATCCTGCTTCTGACGTTCGGACCAGTTCGGAATCTAATTCTGGAAATGGCAAAATGGAATATTGCGACAATCAAACTGGGCAACCAATGGCCAAGCACCGGGTACCTCCAGGCTCTGTTACTCCTGGTGCCTACTCTGGGGCACCCGGTGCCGACTATGAAGCATTGGAACCAATGCAATTGGATGTACTGGGAGCTGCATCCTCTAATCCGCTAGAACTGCCGCAAGAAGATGAAGAAGAAACTGTTACAGCATTGCCCAGAGTGGATGGTTCTAATTTGGGACCTTCTGGGACTGGGCCTGAGCCTGATATTCCTCAAGAGACCAGAGCAGAGTCCTCGGATGAGGAAAATGCAATACCGACCGCTCATGTAGAGTGGGTGTCTGGGCCCCCAACGCATAATCCCGATGGGACTGAAGCTGATTCCGAAGTGCAAAGAAAGAAAAAGATGCGGTTGATCAGGGTGGGCTTGTTGCTACTAGTACTGGTGATGATTCTGGCAATTATTGCCATTCCACTGGCTGTTCGTGGAAGTGGACAGAAAGATGATACATCACTGGAGAATACAACAATTGATAATTCAACGGAAGGTGAAATCTCCGATCCAGTACCAACACAATCACCAACAGTGGAAGTTGACCAAGTCGAGCAAGATGATGGGGTGCTGCTCCCCAATGCAGCCAATTCCACTTTGGAATTAATTGCATTGGATCAGTCGTCACCCCAGTACCAAGCTTTTACCTGGCTGACTCTAGATCCCAACCTACGTCGGTACAAAAGCTGGCAACGGGAACAGAGATTTGCTTTGGCAACTTTCTTCTATGCATTCGGTGGCCCACAATTTTGGATATGGCTGAACTATGAGATAGATGAGTGTGAATGGGGTGAGAGTTTCTCCAGCAAACAAGTGCATTGCAACACTGATGGCCATGTAAAACGACTTACTATGAGAAAATCCGACACCATAATGGATTTTATTGGATCTATCCCACCAGAGCTGTCATTGCTTGGTCAGTTGGAAGAAGTGGACTTGTCAGGGAATCACCAACATAAACCCATATCGAGTCTGCTACCATCAAGTTTATCACCAGAGTCATTTCCGTCACTGAAAGTGATTGGCTGTACTAATTGCTCTCTCCGACTAAGTATCCCTGCAGAGCTCTGTGACTGGACCCAACTCCACACCTTGAGGTTGGGAACGAACTGGCTTAGTGCGATACCAGTGGAAATCCAGCAGATGACCCAACTTCAAGAGTTGATACTCAATAGGAACATTCTAACGGGAACAATTCCCGTAGAGTTGACTCAGCTGGACCAGCTTCAAAGTTTGTCATTGGAAAGCAACATGATGTCCGGAATGGTCCCTTCCGAGTTTGGCTTGATGACATCATTGACACGCTTGGGATTGTCTGAAAACAGGAGAATGACGGGCAGCCTTCCAAGTGAGGTTGGATTACTGACAGCCTTGGCTTTCTTGAACATGAGTACAACTGCAATATCAGGTGATATTCCATCTGAGCTGGGGTTGCTGACATCATTGACTGAATTGGCCTTGCATGACAGCAATTTATCCGGAATGGTGCCAAGCAGTCTTTGTTCCAACCCAGACTTATTGCAGATTCTTGTCAATTGTGATTCAGTGGATTGTAAATGCAGTCAATGCAAATGCAGCACACTGTAGCATTGCTCTTTCAGCCTCTCTCAGTCCTACTAGTAAATTCCATGCTTCTGCATGCACTGATAGCTCTAGAGCTAGCATCTCCCGTCCGGTGTGCTACAAGGGAGACGGTGAGCAGAGAGAGGACCAATGGCTGGCCATAGCTGACGCGATCCCCAGGGGACAGGGGTTCTTTATTAACTTCATATTCCATGCTAAAGAATTCTACTTTGCGTCATTTAGGGGCTCTAGTACCGGTACCCAGTAAAGTTTTGCTAGCATCTGGATTTGCTGATTACACCAGATTGACCGATCCCAGACGGGGTCTCTGCCTTATTGTTGAAATTGAAGGTGTATCCTTTGGACCCGGGCCTACCAGATACCAGACTTGACTGCACACCAACATAAGCATTCACTTCCCATGACAGCTATGTACCGTACTTCTGCTAGGCATTGTGCATGATGCTGGGGGGACCATTGTGTCTGGAAGAGCTGGGGCTCAGTCTGGAGCAGTGAAATCTCTACGGGGGCTATAGGGAGCAAGCAGCTTCAGGTACATGCAGTCATACATTCTTAGTCAACAGAGATCTACCGTATCTTGATCTTCACAAACTCAAACACATCCTGAGAGCATGGAAAACAGCGTGCTTACATCATCCGGCTCCGCAAGCTCTACCGGCGCCTGCTGCAAACTACATGTCTACGAATTGCGGTTCATTGAGAGTTTCTTCAGCGATGTTCTCGGTTGGCTCGAGAGTTGGCTTTTCCGCTGGGCTTGCTTCATCCACAGAGTCCGCCTTTGTAGAAGAACGGCTCCTTTGGTAAAAGCAATAGGCTCCAACCGCAACCAACATGATGCAAAAATGACAAACACAATGACAATGCAACAATCAAGGCTGTGGATAGCTCACTATTGGAGGTGGTCGGGGTGGATAGCGCCTCTGTTTCCTGATCCGACTGACAATGCTCGTTGATCGAAACACCCTCATCCACGTCTTCGGGATCGAACGCTGGCAAGTCTTGCTTAAGATAGGCGTCAAAGACAATCGCCGTCCACTTGGCAAACATCTGATTGCTCCATTCCTGAGAACGCGTCTGGGGAAATTCATCTGGAGTATTGCCGGGAGGATCTTGAATGTTGGTGACTGCCCAATGATTGGTCCCCTCCACAATGATCATATCCTTTTCTTCTTCAACCAGAGGCCAAGACTTGCAAACGTCCCCCATGGAATCCAACTCACCATTGATCAGAGCCACGGGAATCTCATTGTCCACATTGACGGGTTCGTCTATGTTTGCTCCAGGAGGTCCACCCTGTGGGATGAGGTGGGTGGATATGGCCACAGTGGCACGAAACGCGTCGGGGCGCTCAAAGACAGGTCCAAAGCAAAAGGGAATTTGGCACTGGGATGAGCTTGCAAACAGAACGGCGCCTCCTCCATTGGAATGCCCACTGAGCCCCCCTCGGGTGGTATCCACGATCTCAAAGAGAGGAGAAGAGGAAGTTTGGGACCGGACGGTGAGATCCAGCAAGACATCGGACGGAGTAAGTTGAGAAGCCCAAAGATCAGGAGGCATGTTCGGCACTATCGTTTGCTGATGATTGGGAATCACCACAATGTATCCGTACGAAGCTAATGCGAAAGCAAAGTTACTGTAAAGGCTCTTGTCAACCAGTCCTCCCGACAAGAAGACAATGAAGGGGAAGTTGACGGGTTCCTCAGGGTCCACAACAGGGTAGTAGAAATCAGTCTCGTCATATCCATCTTGGGTTGAGACGCGTTCCACAGAGCCGGTAAAGTTGGCCACTTGCCAAGAAGAACTCACAGCGGCTGAAGCGCAACGTACGGTCGAAGCCACCAACAAGAGAAGTAGAGAGACTTTGAAGAGCAACATCTTGGTTCTGAAACTTCTTTCGCTTTTTTATGCTTCTCGTGATAATATGCATGCATGTCAAGGGGTTCGATTCGCAAAGCCTGCGAAGGTATCAGTACGTACCACCCCCCCGTATCAATCGGAGCCGGTAGCGTTGTCGGTGGGGCTTCGGAAAGAGCATCCTGGGACCTGCGGCAACTTATGGACTCGCTCGGTGACGAAGTGTTTCGAATGCAAAGTTATTGCGTATCTGCGCGTAACTGAACTACACTATTTAAAAATACAATGTAAGTTGTTTGTATAACCTATCTGCTTGTAACGTAACTGTACGTACCTAAATTAACTTCACTATAAATGCTGTATTCTGACCACTGGGTGTGCCTTGTTGTTGTTGTACATATAACCTATAGTTGCCCCATACCCCTGAAGAATGCAGCGGCTGTTCCCAACGATCAGAAGCTGCCAATGAGCGGGACTCCCACAACAAAAGAGGCGCGCACACTAGCTCAGGGCACGCTGGAACCAAGAGGCTATTACGCGGTACTGGTATCGGCAACAAGAATAAGGAACAAAGAGGACAGTTGCATGCATGGTTGCCTTTTTAAAAAGATATCTGCATGGATACCAGCTATCGTATTATGGCTGCCTCTGAAGCTGGCTACCGGTACTCTGGAAGGAAGAGGCTTCACAGATAGAGCACCAAAAGAAATAGCTTTGCTACCAACAAAAAGCACGTGATCTCAACCGGACAATTTGCTTCCCATTCTTTTGTTTGACTGCAATTGCCTGGACACCGATAATACCTAGTTACGGTATCTTGCTTGCTGCGGTTACATTCCTTCCTGTATTATAATAGACATCATGTCCTCTCAGGAAACTGCCGAACAAGGAGGGCTACCACCAGGCTCTGTGGAACATGGATCCTCTAACCAACAAGAGCTGCAAGAAGAAGCAGGGCAAGCAGGAGCCGTACTGACCGCTGATGTGCAGTGGGTGGCTGGGCAGAATCCGGATGGAACTGAAGCTGATGACACAAATGAAAGAAAAAAGAAAATGATGTTCATCAGGGTATTATTGTTGCTGCTAGTGTTGTTGGTGATTCTGGTTATTGCCATTCCGCTGGCTGTTCGTGGAGGACAGAACGATGATCCATCGCTGGAAACCAGTGTGATGGATAATTCAACGCAAGGTGAAACTTCCGATCCAGTGCCGACACAAGTACCAACGCAGCCCCCAACACTGGAAAGTGACCTAGATTTTGAGGTGCTTCTCCCCAATGTAGCCAACTCCACCTTTGAAGTGATTTTGTCGGATCAATCGTCACCCCAATACAAAGCATTCAACTGGTTGACTTCTGATCCCTACCTTCGAAGGTATGAAACCTGGCGACGGGAACAGCGATTTGCTTTGGCTACATTTTTCCATGCATTCGTTGGCCCACACTTTTGGACATGGCTGAACTATGAAATAGAGGAGTGTGGATGGGGTGAGAATGTTAACAAAATACACGTTCATTGCGATGATGATGGTCGTGTAAGGAGAATTGTGGTGGGAAGAGCCGTGGACAGAGACTTTGTTTATTTTCGTGGATCCATCCCACCAGAGCTTTCATTGCTTGGTCAGTTGGAAGAATTGGACATTTCGGAGAATAGACAATATTTTTCCTTGGGGAGTTGGCTACCACCAAGAATATCATCAGAGTCATTTCCGTCACTGAAAGTGATTGGCTGCACTGATTGCGATCTACGAGGATTCTTCCCTGCAGTGCTCTGTGACTTGACCAATATCCACACCATGAGGTTCGGAGCGAACATACTTGGTAACACCATACCTGCGGAAATCCAGCAGATGACCCAACTTCAAGTGCTGACTCTGGATGACAACATTCTAATCGGAACAATTCCAGTAGAGTTGACTCAGCTGGACCAGCTTCAAATTTTGACATTGTCAATTAACAAGCTGTCCGGAATGGTCCCTTCCGAGTTTGGCTTGATGACATCATTGACACACTTGGGCTTTTCTGAAAACAAGATGATGTCGGGCAGTCTCCCAACTGAACTTGGATTAATGACAGCCTTGGCTTTCTTGAACATGAGTGCAACTGCAATATCGGGCAGCATTCCCTCTGAACTGGGGTTACTGACATCATTGACTGAATTGGCTTTGCACCACAGCAATTTGTCCGGAATGGTGCCAAGCAGTCTTTGTTCCAACCCAGACTTATTGCAGATTCTTGTCGATTGTGATTCAGTGGATTGTACATGCAGTCAATGCAAATGCAGCACACCGTAGCATGGCTCTTTCACCCTCTCTCAGTCCTAGTAAAGTCCATGCTTCTGCACATAATGGCCTAAAAATTCTACTTGTCATGAAGGGGTTCACAGATACCCATTAAAGTATAGCTAGCATCTATGTTTACAGCTATAGTGCCCATCTCTTTGGGCCCAGCACAAGGAAAATGTCGAGGATCGATTGCCGAACGAACCTCTACCGTTCGGTATCGGCCAGTTGACCACGGGTGGATGCTCACCGGCTGCGTTCTTAGCACAACGTAATTTTGCAAGCAAAATGCCACTTTGATTTGAAATATAATAACTCTTGCTAGCTAGCTAGTACACGGATCCTATCCAAAATGGTAAATTCAGTTTTCAGTCTATTGTCGGACGATCCATGCATGTAGTTTGTATTGCTTGTTACATTTATTACTCCAAAGCTCTCCATTGCAACGAGGTTGGATTCTCAAAGATACTGCCAGTTCGTTGGTTTAAAAAGTCGTTTCGAAAGGTACTCAATCCTTCAATATGGATCGCATATACCCATTGGAACATGGGTGGTCTCGCGGTGCCCTCGGTCACTTTAAAGACGGCCATGGAGTCGACGACGACCTCGTAGGGTCTCGCGGCAGAGTCGTCATAGTTTTTGGACACCACGGTGGTGTTTTCGAGGGAGACAAACTCGGGAAGTAGACCATCGACGTCCACGACGTTGTACGTTTTGTTGAAAACGAAATGAATATAGTTCTGAGTGTCCGTGACCAAGTCATCCCATTCGGTCTCCGTAGGTTCTCGTAGATCGATTCCATTGGGTTTACCCAAAGTCCATTTGATTATGATTGGTTCATGGACGATGGGTTCCGTATCGGGTGAAGACGTTGGCATTGGGACTGGTAGTGGGAGGGTTGGCGGCATGGGAACGGGGGCAGACGTTGGTCCAGGAGTGGGCATGGGTGTACCGACGCCATTATTGCCGCCACCGTTGCCACTACCATTGCTACCAGCACCAGACGAGGACATGTATACCATGCCCAAGGATGCGCGTCGTGCCGACTGAAAGGCGCTATCAGCCGCAACGGCGGGATTCAGATAGTTGGCAATAAAGTTGCCAATACTGTACGTAGTAGCCGTCTGCATAAGTTCCAGGGCCGATGGACTGCTACCGGAAGGGTCGTGCTCAAACTTGGCCTCGCAGGAGAGTGATACTTCGTGTTCGTAAGAGGGATCAGTAGTACTGACGTCATTGGTACTGCCAATGCTGCATTGTGTTGCCAAAAAGTTGGTGGCTGGATCAGCGCTGTACTGCGCGTTGCTGTTATCATCGAACCAGGTCATGACAGCCTCGTTCACGCCGTCGTAGTCAGTCGATGTTGGCTGTCTACCGGAATTGGCAGATCCCTTGCCAATCTTGACCGTCACTCCAAAGGGAACCAACGTGATCGTATACCCTTGTATCCGACGTTCTCGAAGATGAGTTGCAGCCTGGGTTGGAAGAACAAGGAGGGCGAGAATTGCCAAAAGAGGGAAAACGTGAATTCGCTTCATGATGTTGCTTTTGTCTGGTTTATGAGATTTCAAGATCTGAGCGATCTCCAATTTTTTTACAATTCACTTGCTTCAAGCTGCCCCTTCCGGATCTCACAATAACCATCACATTCACATGGCAAGATCTCCAAGGAAAACATGTGATACGCTAGCTTGAGTCTTGAGCCGTCACACTCCACTCCAAGTATCCGTTGTGAGTTCCAAAGGTTGCGTTGGCAACAAGAATTGTGGCCAAATTGATTGCCGCCATGCTTCAGGGACAGAGGAGCACTGCGCACCTGCGTGGCCACAGATTTGTGATGAGGGACTGCAAACAACGACGGGCGCAGAGCGGGCTCGATGCGACACCGCACCGTGGTGCACCTTCCACGTTGATAAGACTTCGACAGCTTCGATTTCAATGGAGTTTTCGGTGCCAAGGAGACAAGCCCATCAAGGAATAGCTCATTTATAAACCTGCGACGTTTCGCTGCCGTACGGTACTTTCTAGCTGGGATAGACCTTCGACTTCGAATCACCATGTTGTTGTCTGTAGCCATGAATCGGGTCTCTCGTGCTGGATTATCATTCTCGTCGACTCGACCTTTGTCGAGATTCCTGTCCTCTACCACGAGGAAGCCAACCGGGGATTCCAAGGGCGGCGAAGGTCAAAGCACATTTGAAAAGGCCTTGGGAGAGTTGAAAAGTGAAGGACTTCGCAAGATATCTCCCAACGCAACGTCTATTGACGCTCTTGCTTTGTGGGTGCAAAAAGGGTCGCTGGATTTGGTTCCTATGTACCAACGTGGATACGTTTGGGATGAAGCCAAGGCATCTCGGTTGACAGTGACAGTTCTGTGTGATCGCATTGTACCAGCTGTGACTGTGCATGAACGCGAAGATGGAGTTCGTGATGTTGTTGACGGAAAACAGCGGCTGTCTACAATTCTTGGCTTCTATCTTGCTGGGGAAAACCCAGAACTGCACAAAACAATGGTTGAAAATGGCACAATGCCCACTAGTTTTAAAAAACTCACCAATCTTGCTGAAGACTATGACATTCTGAATGGATTGGAGTTCAAATCACTCAGCGAGACCCATCAGAGACAATTCTCCGGGTTTACGATTCCTGTGACGACAATTCCAGCGGGAACGTCCGACGATGACGTTTTCTCTTGCTACGAAGACATCAACTCGGGAGGGGAGGACTTGACTGCGCAACAGCTCCGAAGAGCCGCTTTCTGGGGTGATTACATCCGTTTACTTGATGAGCTCGCACAGAACAAGGACTTTCAGCGTATTCGGGACCCTGGAGCCTTGGACAAAGGGAATTACGTCCTTTGCGAAAGAGAAAGTGATCGCGAGCTAATCTTGCGTGCGTTTGCTTGGGAACGCGGTGGAAAAGACTACCAGTACAAGATTCCGATGAAGATTTTCTTCAATCGGGAGCTGGGTCACTTCAAAGGCTTGTCCGACAAAGACAAGGAGTTGTTTCTGTCCCGACGAAAGACGGAGTTTGAGTTCATTATGAAGGTTTGGGGCAATGTTTTCTCTGAAGATAATGGCGCCTTTCGGACCTGGACCAAGGACGGAGGTTGGGGCAACAACATTTCAAAGCCATTTTGGCCTTTGATGTATGCAGTCTTGACAGAAATGAAGCGCAAGTATCCCAAGGCCCAAATGTACACGGAATGCAAGAAAGAGCTACAAAATGCTACCAAGTCATTGTTCACAAAGCACAAATTGGCGCTGTCACCACAAAGTGGAAAGAAATTTTTGGAGCAAAAGGCTCTTGTCGACCGTGTCCTGTCAGAGGTTTTGAGTAAAGCCAATCCTGAACATAATAATGGGCCTAGGCGCTTTGCTGGTGATCTTGACGAGTTGCGGCAACGACTGTATGATAAGCAGGAGGGGAACTGCAACATTTGCAATCAGACGCTTGATGCAAAACGCATTCATGATGGTTCCTACGCTCATCTTGACCACAAAACACCTCACTCGAAAGGTGGTCTGTCGGAGGAAAACAATGCGGCGCTCGCTCATGCTGAATGCAACCTACACAAGGGCGCTAAGACTGAGTGAGTGAAGGAAGAACCTCTGGCTAGCCGCTGAAGCTAATTTTGGCTTGCCTTGATAAAAGAGTATAGTTTCAAGTTATCGCACCGTTCACGGAAGTATCATAGTTCCCATCTTAGCTATAGCTTCGGATCTTCCCTTCTAAAGTTGAAATGGCTGCTTGCGATTGTGGCTGGCTGCATGGGTCTGTGTTAATCCTGTTGTCTGGCGGCCTGTTCAAGGTCTGAGTGTGTCCGGGAGCTTTTGAGTTGGTCAAGTGGCTATGTATACGGTACCAATACTACCGGTACGGGTACCGCTATTGGACCGCTATTGGAAGGCAGCTGGATAAGTCCATGCACCAGCCCACGTCAACACAAGAAAATCCGAGCCCTCGGTGACATGTGCATGCAAGAAAATGGGCATGCACCAACACAGGAATCAGCAACCAAACACTAGCTAGGAAATTCAAAGGAGGGATAATGGTTCTGAGGATCCACTGTGCATATGCGAGTTGTCGAGTTGCCGCCTCTGTTTGATCGTTGCTTCTCGACGACTGACTCGACGACGATATCTCCTCTTTTCAGACTGTTGATAGGCTGGAGAAGTATACATCAAAGCCTCCGCATGAGTCCACCTTGCTCTGGACGTTGATGCGAGCCTTCCTTCCATTTGTAGATCTCATTGGTGGCTATGCATCTCCTCCTGCGGAAAGCCCACACAAATGGAACCACTTCACTTCGAGGGAGTACCTCCCAATGCTCGTTGTCCGTGAACGCGAGTCGATTTCCTTCTTGATGGCCTTGTAAACCTCCCCGCTATCTTCAGCTCGCATAGCATCATCGTAAAACATGATGTCGATTGGAGGATGCAGCAAATGAATGGATCCAGCATATCGTCGTGGCACTGTAATAAACCCTCATCATGGAAGACATCCCATGGCACGTACCGGCAGCTACGCAGAGGGAGGCCAACTTTTAAAAGAGACCCTTGGCCTGGAGCTTCTTAACATCAAGTGCGTTCTCTTCCTAGCTAGCTCTGTCTGCGTACTAGTATCCTGTCCTAGTACTAGTATGTATAATTTCTGTGGCAGACTCAACTCCGGGTACTGTACCGGTACCACATATGTGCCGGGACAAGGACTGTCCCTATCCATATGCATAGTGGTATTACTCAATCTATTACTCTGGTTAAGTTAATTAATTGAATCGGGTTTACTATGGATTAGAGAGAGCTAAGATGAGGATGGAGACAGAGGTTAAGAGTGTACCGTACAGCGCAACAAATCACTCGGTCTGCATGGTCCTGGAATAAAAGATTCCTGAATAAAATTCTGCACGAAATCCTTGCTTTTAAAAAGGCAACTACAGCTTTAGTAGTCTAGATATGTAGTAGGCTACGCAGTAACGTGAACCTGTCGGTACTGTATTACTAATATACAACTTACTGTATGCGTCGTTCCACGCACACTCGCACTGCGGAGTCCCTAGTGGTATTACTCATTCCATCACTCAAAAGAGTTGTTACCTTTAATTAACAAAAGGGTTCTGGAACTACACTAGCTACTCTTCCTTATCACTTCTAAAGGGGTGTGCATGCACACCGAACTTTGCAGACGTGAACCTGTTGGTTCTTTAAAAGTGGCTTGTGGAGTCCCTGGTATTGAATAGTGGTATTACTCAATCAATTACTTATCATTCAGTTCTCCCACAGGAAATAGCACACTGTACATCCACCAAAGACGCTCGATCACGAATTCACGCTTGGATCTGTGAAAGTCCCAAACACATTCCCATTGGCTCTACCGGTGGTTGGCCCCTTCTAAAGTGAGTTTTCCAGCATCATTCTCTCATTATTTCTCAGGATTAACTGTTGAGAGCCCTGTATCACCGCACACAACACCCTTGCTGCCATGTTGTTCTCCAAAGTCATCTTCGCTGCTCTTACATTTTTTGGTGCTATTCTGCCTCACACTCTTGCTGTCCGTTACGATTCTGGAGTAATCAACAAAATCATGACTCATTATGGTGACGACATCATTGTGGTCAACGACAACTTTGAAATCTGTGATGTTGACATTGAAGTAGACTTTGAAGGGTGGGTTGCCACTGGTCACCTGGAAATCGACGTTACATTCCAGAGCGCTGTTAAAAATTTTGGTGCGCGTAGATTGGCAAACACTCTATGTGATGCTGTTGGTGAAGCACATGTAGTTTTCGATGATGATGGAAGCCCCAATCCGATTGGTTGCAGTTCGAACCTTGTGAATGATGGATCTGCTATTCAACCAGCGGAAACCCTTGACTTTTATAATGGCTTGTCTTCACAAGGCAACTGGCGACTGGATTTGAAAAGACTCTTTTTCGGTACACTAAATCAATGGGCATTGATTCTCACCCCTTGTACCAACAGTCCAACAGCATCTCCCACTGATGCTTCAAGTGATGGAGCTGGGACTGGCGATCCCCACTTCAAGACCTGGGCAAACAAGTGGTATGATTTCCATGGAGAATGTGATTTGGTCTTCATCAGTAACCCAAAGTTCTCCCAAGGAACTGGACTGGAGATCCACATTCGCACCAAGGCCCGCTTCCAGTACTCCTTCATTGAGTCTGCTGCTGTCCAGATCGGAACTGATATCTTGGAGGTTGGTGCCTATGGTGGATACATGTTGAATGGTATCTCCAATGCCGAGCTGGATAAGATGGATAAGTACACAGTCTCTCATGAAAAGGTCAGCCCCAAGCAAGATGTATTCACGATTGAACTTGGAAAAGGCAAGCAAATTGTGGTCCAGTCCTTCAAGGATCTCGTCAGTGTCAAGACAGTGGGTGCCAGCTTGGAGGAATACGGCGATAGCATGGGTCTTTTGGGAGAATTTGGTTCCGGTAAGTGGCTTGCCCGTAATGGAACAGTCATTTCCAAGGCTGATGCCTTTGGAATGGAATGGCAAATTCTGGAGTCGGAACCCAAGCTTTTCCAAACCCAGAGGTCCCCCCAGTGGCCCATGCAGTGCACTATGCCGAATAATGAGAAGGTTGGTCGTCGTGGACTTGGTGAATCCATTGCTGAGGCTGCTGCTGAGAAGGCCTGTGAGCATTGGGGAGACCTCAAGGACCAGTGTGTCTATGATGTCATGGCGGCTGGAGACTTGGAGCTGGCCGAGGCTGGAGCATTCTAAGCACCAAGCAACTGCATCATTCTTTACATTTTCTTTAGCTGCATACCCTCACCTTTCTCCCCAGACCTACAAAAAGTACATGAATGAAGGGTTTGGGAGGAGCACGAATGCCCATCAACGCAATACCTTAGCCGGACATTTACTTGGCTGGTTTGTAGAAGGTATTTGATAAGTTATATTGTAGTGACACGTAATTTCTGTTACTTGATCTATCTACTTGTTTTGGGTTCAGTACTAGCTATCCTAGATGGTTGGTTCATGGTTCTTTACACTTCCAGGAACCTGGGCTGACGCATGGCTTGCACAGGCTGCACAACAGTTCATGGCAACCGAGCCTCACATAGAACAAGCAACCGGCCCCCAGACTGGACTGCACGCTTACCAATGCACACCTTCGCTGGCTTCGGTTTTTTACTGGTCTCCTTGTGTTGATCGCATCCTGCCACCGAACGCACGTTGATGAGGACGGTTCACTACGTTTAATTTTTCCTATCAGAGCTATTTTATTAAGTAGAATGTCTATGTTGCATCGTAACATGATAGATACAGAAGGAAGCTTCTCGGGGGCCTTCCGTCCGCTGCATGGTCCCCTTCGTTTCGGTTGAAAAAGAGAAGTCCCTGGAAACGATTTGATCTTTCTGTGCTCTCCAAGAAGAGCCGACACAGGTTGCATGCCGCATCATGGCCGGTGACCGATTCTATCAACAGGCCGCTCAATAAAAGTCCGGAACAATCACCTGTCGCGAGCTCCCTCGTTCAGCCAGCACTTGCTGCCTGACGGCATGACCTAAAAAGATTTCGCGAAGATGGTCATATCGAGCCAAGTCAAGATTCAAAGGACGTCCACGGTATTGGGGAGTTTCACCATGGCTATCGACATAAGGACTGTGAATGTACGCAGCTTTGCCCTTGTGCATGATCAAACCAGAACACTCTTGGAGCAAAAAGAACAATCCAGTGCCAGCGCCGCACTTGTAAGAGTGGCGGGTGCATTCGCCCTTACCACCGGCGTTCAACACTTCCCCACATATCAAACAGACCGCAGTCTGCTCACAATCCGGGAGAAGTGCTCCCAACTCGGCATAAAGATCCGTGTAGGAAGTGGGAATAACCGCCACACGAGGACGAGAATTGATCACCTGCTTGGCGAGCGCTTCATCACAATAACCTCCAATCAATGGGACTGTCTTCTTGGCACTGAACGTGACCAGAGTAGGTGCTGACTGCTGTCGGAGTACTTCTGGTGTTGTCGTTGACGCTTCGTCTGTCGGCATCAACGCCTCGACCTGCATCATGCTTCCATGCTGTGGCTCTTGCTCTCCACTCACAACTTTGAATGATACCTTGGAACGGCTGTTGGATGCCTTTCCGAGATGGCTCAAGAAATCAGGAGAGGACTGCATGGGCCAATCCATCGCATGGAACCCTTGTGTTCGATAAAGCCGGTGTCGGATGGATCGCGTCTCATCCCAGATCGAGTTGGAAGGCAAAGGCGATGGAAACAATCCAGCAGCTCTAGCGTGCTCATGAGCCGAGTTGAACCAATACGAAACAATTTCCAGGACCGAAGATGACTGCAACATTTCTTCGATTGGCTCGATTTCGAGCAATACCCTTAACTTTTCGAATGTTCGAAGACTCGGGTCTCTATCCCATTCCGATGACGCCATCTGGGCAGACTGGCAATCATACCGCGACATGACACCAGGGACAAGAACCTGTAGCACAGTGCTGATATCCACAAGAAAGGAACATGCTGCTCCGGCGGCAATCACACAGGCTTCATTGAACACGTTAAAAAGGCCGTTTTGATTGCCGGCGGAAGTGTTGCTGACAAGCTTCTCAGGCAAGTTGTCCCCGAGCCCACCTTCCAACAACGACAGGCAAGAGAGAACCCAGCTTCGTTCCAAATTGGACATGTTGTCGTCTCGATGGTTCCGAATACCTCTCAACGCAACCACGGTCGAGACTGCACTGTCCACGTTACCCGGTTTGACCTCCAAAACAGCCAGCAACACTTGCAGTGTTCTGGCTAACAGACCAAGCTTCAGAAACCCTTCACAATCCTCCAGCGTGGAATCCATGCTGCGCTTTCGATCGTTGCTGCTGTCTGCAAAAGCAAAACTGCCTCGAATAGAAAAGGGCACCGGCCAGGCAAGTTCCAACGAGTCGCTTCGTGCCCGGGCGCGTCCGCAAGCTGCCGTAATGGCTGCTACAACATGAGTGAGCACATTGCCATATAAGATTGGGTACGCAATGGGAGCACGCTCTGGTTTCTCGACATCCATAATATCATGTCCATCTACGTTGTCCTCCTTGCGATTGTGCGGAAAACATAGCGCAAGTTGCACCAAATCCGCAGCCACAGCCCCAGCTGCAGCCATTGCCGCAAGACCAAGATACCGCAGTCGGCCCAACCGCCCATTGAAAGGCTGGGATCCATCGTCCACTTTTGAAGAGGGATGCGGCATGAGCACCAGTTTTCCATCACACAGCACCCCTGTGATGCCAAATTTCGAGCAGATTGTATCAAAACTGGATGAGTCGGATAAACCAGCCACTTCACGGGATGAAAGGAAGTGTTTTCGGACTTCTCGCCTTGCCTCCGCTGCCTCGCAACAGCAGCTGTAGGTGAATGACTGGATAGTCATTAGAAGCTTTGACAACAGCTTTTCTCGAGATAATTCCTGCCTCTGTGTCTCCGACAAAGTCGTCGAGAAGACACATGACGGCCACTGCCATCAACAAAACCGAAAAAGGCGACATGTAAGCATAAGAGTAGTCCCAAAGCGAAAATGCTGGTCACAAACCAAGGACGATCTCCACTTACATCAGCCGGTTCAATACCAGCAGCTCGCTTTGCCAAATTGTATGAGAACTTCTCCACGATGTAATGGCGAAACTCTCCAAAGTCGTTGTGTAAGTTTTCCTCCCCCAGTCGTTTGGAGTCCGCTCGGTACGCTACATCACACACCTGGTCCATGAACCTCCGCCATACTGCCGTCTCCCCTGAAGTCTCTACGGGCACATCAGGCACATAAATTGGTCCCATCTCATTGCCGCGAGAAGACGCAGCCGCAGAATCATCGTTACTGCGATGTCGAAACTTTCGTCGAACAAACCGCGGAGTTCGCATCATGGCATTCCAAGCCGCATAAAGATCCTTCTTCCGCAGGGATCGCACCGATCGGCGACGAGGCTTGGCAAGGCTTGTCGTTGTTTCGAATCCCCGCTCTCCGGTAACATCAGACGTTGGCAGAATGGATTTGCTAATGAAAGCGCTTTGGCCATCCCAAACTACATGCGGATTGTGCCGAGACACCCACCATGGTGTCGTCGACAAGAACTTCTGCAGCGGAACAGAAACATTCGGCGAAATGACGGCCCAGTCCGAAAGCATGTCCACATCTGCTTCACTCTTGGCACTGGAAATAGCCTGCTCATTTGACACACTCTCCGAAGAAGTCGGTTGGCAGATCCAGTCTTCGCCGACATCAATGAATGGAACCAAGCAATTGCTCAAACGCTGACAAAGGGGGCAGCGGAACTCGTCTCGTTTACCAATAACACGCTCTTCTCTGTGCGAGACAATTGCCAGGTATGCTTCGCAGCATTCGCTGTGCACTGCATGGCCGCAGAGAGCCACGTGAGCCCCAACATATCTGCGAACAGGAGCCATCAAGTGGCTACTCGGAGACGGCGGGCCACCACCGCCTTTCATGACCGTACTTGCCTGGCCGTAGGCGACAAAGCAAAGCGCGTTCCCGCCGTCCATCTTTCGTCGCCGACTCCTTTTGTGGGTTTCTTCTTCGTACGATGGTCTCCCACTAGATTCGGCGTTGTACTCGTCGTTGCAAATGATGCAACGGGGCCTCACTTTCAGTAGGCGATCAGGTATGACCGCATCGTCGTATCCACTGGCATTGTTATCAGCGGCAGACGAGGCATAACCTTGAGTGAGACTTGCTTCGCTTTCTGCGCCATTAGTTTCGACGCTGATTGATGACAAGCTCCGGTTGGAACCAAGACTGGATGAACGGGTCGGATGGTGATGCGTCGAAGCAGCCATGTCTGCAAGGTGCATGGTTGCATCCGACCCCGCACTGCTAAAACTGAGGTCTTTGCCGGCGCTGTTTTGGCTAGAATTGTCCTTTTCGTCCTCTCCTCCGTCGTCGAGTTCGACTTTCATCATGGAAGCAAATTTGGCAGCCTGCTCTTTCATTCTTGCCATAGCCTTTTCCTTGGCAACGCGTTTCTTCCTTTGCAGTTCTGTTTCCTTTTCCTCCTCCTCTTGGTTACCATTCTCGGCAGATGCTGTCGCGTTGGCGCCAAGAAAGTGCGCAGCAGCGGGGCTGCATTTCAACGCAAATTCACACAACCAAGCTGCACCCGCACGGACAGATCGATCTCCCGCCACGAAACTTCCGGGCATTCCTCCATCGACTGCCAAACGCTTGAGTAAAACAATGGCATTTTCCTCGCCAGAATACCATTCACAGTCCAGGAGACCGCCTGGATCCACCAACAAAGCTGCCTCGACCCAATTATTAGCAGTGGGCGCATCATGGCTGTCGGGTCTGTCAAAGAAGACGCTACCAACAGAGCCACCGCCGTGCTCGCGCCAATTGCTGACTCCCGCCTCTGCATTCTCCCAGGCAAATGCTCCTAGCGTCAAGATGTGCACCGCACGTGCAAGAGCCGTTTCACTCCTTTCGTCGTCTTCGTAGGCAAACCTGCCGCCCCTCAAGTCGGCCATGTCTTTCTTTTTGTTTTCACGGCAGTGGAGATGCAAAATTCTGTAGGCAATGGCGAGCAATGTGGCATCAGCCGACACGTCACGTCGTAGTCGTTGAAAGGTAGGGTGGGCTGGCAGCGTCAAGGGACCGTACGGTTTTGCGTGTCCAAACAGCTGTCGCTTGTTGGGTGCATTGGGAGGTTGCGGTCGATTCTCTGCTGCTGTTTGATGGCTTCGTAAACTCACATGATAGAAGGAAGGATCGTAGGCTTCCCAAGCAGATCTACGAAGCTCCCACTTGTCTGGTTCGAGTTTGCCGCGGCTCGACTTTCGATCTGCGACCTCTTCTAGAACCGCACCCAGCGCCGCTCCTGTCGCGTCATCCGGATTGACCAGTTTCCCTTCCTCGCTCAAGAAAACATTGTCCCAGTAGGACAACACCAAGTGCACTTCGGATAACTCGCTGTGCGTCTTGGGACCAGATGCCAGTCTATGGATAACTTCGCGACGGAGACGATCTTTCGCCTGGTTGGTGTGGTCCTCCTTGTCTTTGGGCGGCAGCGGTGGAAGTTCAACAACAAACACAACCATCAAATGCAAAAACTCCTCCAGCAACACCAATCGGGTCGCAGCGTCTCTGGCAGGTGAATACGTCCATGGCAACACAATGTCACTGCCATCCATGGCTGTGTCCGGTCTCAACTCTCGGGGATAGAGTTTGGCAGATACTTCTTCCAGATAGCGATTGATATCCGAATTGGGCGCCTTGGTCAGACCGGAAACATCAAAAATTCCCAGCCGGTGCAACAGCAAATGAACCAAAAAGGCAATGCCCACATCCGATGGAGGTCTCGGAGTTGGGCTTTGATGCCATGTCTTTTTCAAGACTGCAAACTGAACCAGCAGCAAATCGGCATCTCGCATCGACCGACAAAAGGGAGGCTCGGCATAATTCAGCACTTGATCATTGAGTCCGGGGCCATTGCGTCGCCAGAGACCGGCACGAACTTGAGAAGCCCGGGTCAAGACCAGCACGGGAAACTCCATCAACCCACGAAAGAGCGTGTCTTGTTCCTCGACCAACGGCAACTGGGTAGCAATCAAATGGAACAAGGCTTCCAATCCATCCTTTTCCCGCAGACACAATTCCCTCAGACATGCCGCTAGGAATCGATGCAGTGGCAAATGAAAACTAAATGGCGTCACTTGCGCAATGGACAGCTGTTGCATGGCCAGGGCACATCCGTGCTTGGCAGCGACCGTCGAAAAGGGCAAACTGGCCGGGGAACGTTTGTGCGGGTCAATCGCCGTGGTGTATCGCGTCGGTAGAAATGTACTGGTTTCGACTTGTTGCCACTTGGAGATTCCCGAAATGAGAATATGGTAGGTCAACTGCATGCACGACAACAAATTCCGCGACAGGGGCGACGCCGGATCTTTAATGGGCGATGCTTCTTCGTCTTCCCAACTCAGCAATCGTTCAAACAAACTTCCCAAGGAGATACTCAAATTAAAGGCACCGACCCACCCTCGGACTTCATCTTCGACATGTCCATGCGTCCAATGCCTCCATACTTGTGTATCCATAAACTGTGCCAAACAGAGTGCCGCCACCCAATCACTCAAAAAGGTTCCTTCCTCACAGGCGAACAATCGTCGCATTCCCTTGACATTCAAGACACACTTCAAATCGGATATGCAAGGAGAATACCGTCGATGACTCAATACAAAATGATTGGGATTGAGTCTGGCATTTTTCTGTTGCGTTGTCAGTGCCAGCGATGCTTGTTGTTGTTGTTTCGCCACACGCAACGTTTCAAACAGCGATTTGCCCAATTTACCGAGCAAATCGCGTCCTTGTACCAGATCGACCACGTACGTGACGCGATTGAGAAATTGCACCGACAGTGTATATGCCGATCGTTCCAATAATCCCATTCCAGCGGCATATTTGGCGGTGACACTGCGATAGGTATCGCAATAGGCAGCCGCCAAGTGACTCTTGAATGTCGGTACCGCCAGCAGTGTCAACAAGAGGGAATACCACGCCTTGGTAATACGGGCCGACAATTTAAAATCGGCTCGCAGTAGTGGCACCAAATGTCGATTGGGCAAGATGCATTCGGCGACGGTCCGACAGAGTGGATCGCAACTGCGCGCCAGTGCCGAGACCCATTGGAGTACGGCAACGGCGCGTTGTTCCAATTGGAGTTCGTGTCGTGTAAAAATGGAACAAAAGAATCCGTGTTGAATCAATTTTTGGGCTCTCTTCAGCAAAGCAGACGCAATTTGTGCCGATGCGACCATATCGCCATCCAACCACAATTTGGTATTGGTGGAACCACATTCGGCGACTAATTCCATCGTCCCCCAGACCACTAATTGTCCGTACTTGCGTAGCGCCCGTACAAATTTGGCCAATAGCGAATCGGTGTAGTAAGAGGACGCTCCCAAAAAGTTGCGCAAGACATCAATCCATTGAGACGGAGAATGAATGTCATCGGCATACAAGACCAGGTAGAGTCCATGTCCTTGTCGTCCAATGGCTCCCAGTTGTTGTGCAAAGAGGGTATTGTTGTTGTTGTTGTCAATAGTATTGGAAGATGTATGCTGTTGTTGTTGTTGCTGTAATAGTAATTGTTGTTGTTGAAGTTGTTGTATGGGCGTAGTTCGTGCGGTCCATGCATTTGGATTCCCGAGTTGCAAATTGGCTTGTAAATGGAGTGGAATTTGTTGTGCTTGTGCTGCTGCTGCTGCATGTGGCGCAAATCCCGGTGGTGCTTGTCGGAAAATATCCGACGCACTTTCGTCCATTTGACTGTTATTGTTTGGATCATCATCATCATCATCATCGTCCATGAGTGCCGCGCTTTGCAGATTGTCATTTTGATTGTTGGCAGTACCATCGACCGCCACAGTCATGGCGCGTTTGTACCCGGCTTGTGCATTTTTGGCAATTCGTTCGACCATCCAATCGACAACGGACGGAACGACGCCTCGAACACGTTGGACTTGCGCAGGTGCCAATGGACTATTCTCGTCTTGTGTAGTAGTCGAGGAAGACGATCGAGGTCCATGATGGGGACAAAAGCCACGGGGATCCCATGCATCCGGGTCGCCGCAATCGCAACATCCTCCCGCTTGGGCATGATAAAACGCGACATCGTGGCCGGCATGATGCGATTGAGAAAAACAGGCATGACACAGCACACATGTTTCATCGGCTTGACAGGTTCGACAGACCCAGACAATATCGTTGCGTTTGAATGGGTGTTGACAAACGCGACGAGGAATAGTGCCAAACGCCCGCAATTGTTCCAATGGAGGAGCGTCGGTGCGTCCCGTGACAATTTGAGTCAGTGGTGCCGTGAGTGGGGAATGCTGTTCCATAAGAGTGGCTTCTTCCTTTTCGAGTCCTTCCAATTCTTCGAGCGATCGAAAGAGGGCGTGATGGCCTTTGTTGGGCGACAGCAACGACGTGGGACTCAATTCAAAGAGTGGATCTTGTGGTTGTTGGGCTGCGACGGGTGGAATGAGTAGGGATGGTGCCAAACCGTGAGCGGCCAGAGCCGCGGCGGCTTCTTGTGCGGCTGTACTGTTATTGCTACTAGCAGCAGTGCTAGTAGAAGAAACGAAATGATGCGTCGTGGTGTGATCTCGTAATTCCGGTAGAGGATCTTGTCGAATGTCGCGCAAACTGACGACCGACGGAAAGGGAGCTAAGAAAGACGCAGGCGATTGTAGTAAGACAGCTGTTCGACGATACGCGTCCAATTCCATGGCGTCCAATTGCAGTGACTCGCGAGTCGTGTTCGCGGGGGTTGTCGTTGTAGAACTACTGGTAGTAGTTGTAGTGCCGTGGGTGGGAGGAGTTGCCACTCCCAAATTCACACTACTGCTATCGAGAGTAGCGTCATTGCTGCTCGTCGAGGGGAAACAAGAGTCCATCTTGACTATTTTCTTTTTTTTCTTTTTTGGACTTGGCTTGAATGGACTTGACTTGGAGGATTGGATTGGAATCGAATTTGGTGCAAATGTCTCGAATTCTTCTCCAAATTTTCGTCTTTTTTCGTGTCTTGCTCTTGCTCCTTTTTGGCTTGTGCTTGTCGCGGCAGTCTTCACGATGGCTTCAATCTGATCGGATCTGTCTTCTATAAAGGAGGTGTGGTATCGGAATGTCCAACTCCAGTTAACTTGATCGACGAGTGTAGTGTCAGAGCCAATTCCTCAAGAGTCTCTTATAGTAGCGTGCTTAGCTAGCTAGCCTTCCTTCTCTTGTGTACGAAAAGAAACACAGCAACAGCAGCGAGTTCCTTGGGTAGTACGGTACGGTATGGTTGCCTTTTTGATTATTACCAGGTGTGGGTGATTGATTGTCAGTGAATGCATTGCTGTTGTCCAGTGAGGGCTGCTGATTATTGCATTGCTGTTGCAGTAAAAGTATGACTGGCTTTTTTGTCTGTATGTATCATACTGTACCATAAGTCTCGCCGAACCACCATGGGAAGACGGGATTCCCTCAGCGGCGGACGAAGGAATGACCAAAGTGAAAGAAATCATTTTCCTCGCCGACCATGGCGTGGAACGAAGTATGGCGTGGAACGAGGTGGATCATGCAATCGAATGAATGACACAACGAACGCAAAGATATTAGTATGTTCGAACTGAAACAAAAGGGGGTTTTATAGTTAGAGTGGGAAGGTTAGACTATCATCTATCTATCTATGGAAGCTAGCCAGCCAGCGAGGGCCGGTCATGCAAAGAAAGAGTCGGAACTCAGGACTATGTACCGAAGGTTCTGTGGGATCGGTGGCTTGGCTTTGTGGGAGCGATGCATCATTCACAGAGACATACCGTATAAATGACATACATGGCTGTCAGTAGCAAGGCGTGAAAATAATTGAACGAACGCACCAACTGAAACTATTATACCCTTCTTGTACTTGCTTGCTCCCGATCGATCGAGCGCGGAGTGACTTACTTGTCTGCACTCGTTTTCCCACCGTACCGTACCGTACTAGCTCGCTACTATACTATACTACAACCGCGGTAGAGCTCGGCACCACCACCGCAACGAGCCGTCAAACGCGAACGTAGCGGACGAGGGATGAGTGATTTGTTGATCGTCGATCGATGGACGGATGGATCATGCATGCATCATGGCTGAAATGGAAGAAACAAATGATCGAACTGAAAGCAACAACAAACTTGAGACCGAGTGACTTACTTGTCTTTTGATGTACTCGTGTTCCTAGCTGGCTGGCTGGCTGGCTGGCTGGCTGGCTAGCTGCATGTAGAACCGAAAGAGTGGCTGCATGTACACTACAGTACATGTATAATATTATGCAGAGAAGCTCGGCACCATAGCAACCACGCGACAGGAGCGACAATCGAGCAGCGACTCCACCTCTCGCTCACCGGTACGTACCGTACATGCATCCATGGCTACAAAAGCTTCCCCATCCCATCATTATTTTATTCTTTGGACCTCCATTATTCTTAGACTACGTACGACCACTTCTGGAAACCCAACAAGCAACTTCACTGCTTGCTTTGCACGCAAAGCCTAGCTAGACCGCCCAGCCAGTGCACGAGGAACAACAGTGAACAACACAACAAAAGAGGAGCTTGCTTGCAAGAAGCTTGAACTTCCGAGCGGTACGAACCGGGAACAGGTACTGGTACCTCCCTGGGATGAATGTAATGCATACCGTATGGCTATGGTGGCTATCGTAGCTATCGTAGCTGTCCTCGTAGAAATCAGCCACTGGTCTCTCACCGGTATAGACATGGCCCCCGAGGCTCAGAGGTTCACTTCTCTCCATCTGCCGCGACGACTCGCTTGGCTCGACTCCTTTACCAAAAGCCACAAAGAAATGCTAATATCACTAGAACTCCTTCCATCTTCCATCTTCCATACAGTTGCTCTTGTGGCGTCTACTAGTAGCGTCTAGCTAGAGCCCAAAAGAAATAGAGACCTTGATCTCGTTGTCCTCATTGAATCCCTCGTTGTAGCTAGCTAGAAACCATGTTATTAGGATCTCGTACCGGTACCATAACCCCCTTGCACTTCCCCAAACCACACATAGAAAGCAACTCCCGAGTGACAAATAAAGGAGAAATTCTCTCGGGAGTTGAAAGCCTTATCATAGCGTGAACACAAATACCGCGACAAAAAAACACACGCGGCTTGGCAATGCACCCAAGACCCAACAAGCCAGTTTCGGAGCCAATTTTCGAAGACGCCTCCATCCCAAACCCTCACAATTCTAACCAGCTCACAATCTGAAGCCCACAAAAAACAAAAAAGGACACAAAACTTGCCCTCCTCACTTGCCCAAACTAAACCAAATCAAATCAAACCCATTGTTCACCATGAAGTTCTCTGCTCTTGCTCTCTTGTTTGCCTCGGCCATCCCTGCCAATGCAAGGCCTCCTCCTCAGTGTCATTCTATGCACTGGTTTGACATTGGATCTCGTGTCAACCCTAGTTGGGCGGAATCTGCTTACTACTGTAGAGGTCAAGGCCTACGAACCTGTACCTACAGTGAGCTTTGCCCAGGTGGTCAGTACAGCACCCCTCATGAGTACCCTGGACCGCAAGGCAGTAGTCCGGAGCAATGGGTAGCTATTGATGACGGTAGTAGATGCCAATACAATGCTTGGGTTCAACTGGGTGACCATCCTTACACTTTTCTTAGCCAGGATGAATCATGCTTTAGGCATGACGATGACTTTGGCAATGGCAATACGGACTGCGCCCCGTGGGGGCCGATCCCAGGCAGCTGGCAAGGGGGTGCTGTAGTTGACATTTATCGTTATCATGTTTGCTGCAGAAGTGAGACATGCCATGGAACTGCTGGAGGCGTTGGTGATCCCCACTTCAAGGTAAGCAAGTGCTCAGAAGAAAGAATGCCAAGCAATTCCACCATTTGACACATATTTTGTTGTCTCTCTAATCCTTTGTCTGTCTGGCTAAAGACATTGAACGGCACCTGGTTTGATTTCCATGGTATCTGTGACCTTGTGCTTGTGGAAGATGAGAACTTTGCTGATGGACTTGGTTTGACCATCCACATTCGCACCAAGGCACGTTATGAGTACTCCTTTATTGAGACTGCTGCCATCAAGATTGGTGATTCTACTCTGGAGGTCTCTAGCTTTGGAGAGTATTCACTGGATGGGATTGCTCATGCAGACATGCCTGCTGAGATGGCTGGACAGTTTTTGGTTTTCCACGAGGAAAAGAGTTTCAAAGAGCACGTCTTTACCATCAAGACTGGTGAAACTGAGGCTATCAAGGTTACCACCTTCAAGGACATGGTTTCTGTGACTGTGGAGAATGCCACTGATGCCAACTTTGGAAGCAGTGTTGGTTTGATTGGCAAGCTTGATGGCACCTTGGTTGGAAGGGATGGAAGTACAGTCTTCCAGGTTGAGGATCACGACTTGTTTGGCCAGGAATGGCAAGTCCTCCCCAGTGAACCCCAGCTCTTCCAAACTCCTTCCCAGTTCACTGGCAAAACCTGTGTCCCCCCGGTTGCCACCAAGGGCCGTCGTTTGGAGGAGACCATCTCTATGGAGGCTGCCAAGATTGCCTGTGCTCACCACAAGGATGAAGAAATGAAAGACATGTGCATCTTTGATGTGATTGCCATGGGTGACTTGGAGGTTGCCAATGTCCATGGAGCTTTTTAAAAGACTTGGTCGATATCGCTGGACCTTTAGAGAACTGGTGAGGAAGATAGGTGTGTAGAAGCTGCTGCTGTTGCTGTTGGCTTTGTCAATGGCTGGTCCACAGTGGCTGGCTCCACCTTTCCTTTCCAACAGCAAGTGGAAGCATGGTTACAATTGGAACCTTGTTTGTTGTCTGCTTGTGAAACTAACAATTATAAGAACTAAAGTTGATGCATTTTTAAGAAGACCCCCTTTGAGCTATGTATGTTTTAGTTGCGTAAAACAATGGTGTCTCGTCCAAAATTTTCCACATGCAGTAGGTAGCCTGAGTACCAATATGGCACAACGGGGCTCTGGTACTGACTGGTTTGCCATGCACGACTTAGCTAGCTCGGCCGTCTGGCCGTGCCTGGGGACGACGGATTGGCGCCTGTTTGTTGTTGAATGGTGAGCGACGATCAAGGCATGCAGAGAATACTGTGTCCGAGCTAGCTATTGGTAAGGTATGAGGGAACAAGATGGTGGAACAACTATCGGCGTGGCTGCCCGCGATCACTTTCCCAGGGCGGGAGGTGGTGCTCTTTCTTGAAGGATTCAGCCGTGCTTGCACGAAATAAGATTTATGCATCACTTGCACTTGAGATTTCACTAGCTATCATAGATCATAGTACTCCGTACATTTTTAATGGTACCGGTACTCTAGAGTACATGTACCGCTACCGAACTATGTATGTAGTCTACCTTGCAGTACAGTACCGGTTCCGCGACAGCATGTGAGGAGCAGATCATACCGGTACCAGTACCTCTTCGACGACTCCACCCTATCACCTATTATGGTGCTTGCTCTAGCTATCATCGTGGTCAATGTATACTATGCATGTTACGTGGTTGTTCTAAGCTTCGATGAGCGTGGATAATGAGATATGGTAATGAGAATGGGAGTGAAGCGATTCAATTCGATTCTGTGTACTGAACGATATGTTGGACGAAGCCTTGGATTATTCTTCGGCTGAAGCCTCTTCATCCAAGCTATCCAAGCCGATCGATCCTTACGAGAATCCTCGCACATCTACTATCAAGCCTGAGCCATTCGGGGGCCCGCGGGGGGTCTCCATGGATGTCTCCTGTGCAGAACTGAAAGCCATCCTCGTTGAAACCATACCAACTCGGCAAGGTTTTCTTTCTCCGCCCAGGTTGGAGAACTTTAGAGAGCAAGGGCCAGTCTCCCGTTTTCTGCAGTATCAGATTACTTTCTATTCTCTTACTGATGATTACCTAGGAAACACCATTGTCGAGTCCTTTTCACACGGTCGACCGCCACGGGATAACAACAACAGGAGGAAGGGGCTTCCATCCCTATTGAGGAAATGTAAAGAACGATGAACCGACAGTTAATCATCTAGCCAGCTAGATAGTACCCACAACGAGTAACTAGATACCATTGTCTTGTCGATCGATACGTAATTAGGAGACGGATAACTCCAGCACGACCAATCTGCAGTCCGAGCAAAGGAGATCGTCGTCGAGTCGAGTCGAGTCGAGTCATTGAACGAAAGGCAACAGTCGTCGTCAACCAGAGGGGGGTGCAATAAGTCTCTCCGAACCACCGAGGGTGACGGGTTTCCTCAAGGACGAAGGCAGGACACAAGAACCCCTTCCAACATATTTCCTCGCCCTCCATGGCGTGGAACTTTGAACGTGGTGGAGGATGTGGACGGATCAATCGAATGAATGACACAAAAAGGGGGGTTTTAGAGTACCGTAGGGATGTTAGACTATCTATCTATGGAAGCCAGTGAGGGCCAGGCTTCTGCAAAGAAGAGGAGGAACTCATGACTTTGCATAAGTTCTGTGGGATCAGAGGAAACAAATAATACATGTAAATCCAGGATCAACAGCCATGTGGGCCAAAGGGCTTGGCTTTGCGAGATCTACCTAGCTACACAGAGACATCAATAAATGAGTGTCTTTTAATAAAAAGTTAAAAAGAAGGGCAATGAAGATGAGAGAGTAAGAGTATTGTGTTTTGGTTTGGTTTGCTGGGGTTATAAAGACAGTATACCAAGGCGTACGAAATAAACAATGATCGAAGTGAACTACTTGCTCCCGATCTAGGAATGGCTTGTAGGCACTCGTTTTCCTAGCTAGCTATACGGTAGAACCGAAATTGGGCATGTACAGTACTAGTACATGTACATGAATGTATGTAGAGCTCAGCACCACCGCCGCCACCACCACCACCACGCGACAGGATCGGGTCTGAATCGACAATCGACTCGACTCTCACCGGTACGTACATCCATTGCTTTCTAGACTACTCGTACCGTACTATACCAGCACTTCCGGAAACGCAACAATTTACTTCAGTGCTTCGCACGCAACATCGACTAGACCGCCCAGTGCACGAGGAACAACAGTGAGGAACAACAGCGAAAACAACAGAGGAGGACGCAGCTTCTGAGCGGTACTGGGATGGATGCAGATAGCTAACGGTAGCTACCGTAGCTAGCTAGCTAGACAGTACTCGAGTTTCAGCCACAAATCTCTCACCGCTATAGACATGGCCCTTCTCCGTCTACCACGACGACTCGACTCGTCGACTCCTTCAAAGCCACATGCAATGATGTTCATTGAGTTCTAGTACTCCTATCAGTTGCTCTTGTGGCGTCTAGACTCCAAAAAAATAGAGACCTTGACCTCGTGACACAAAACATACACTTCTTGTGATCTAGTGACGAGACGAGTACATGTACATGGTACTGGTATGTACATGTACGGCAGTAATCTCATTGAATCAAATCTCTCCCGAAGGCACCGCGATCTTATCTAGAGCTAGCTACAAGAAGAGTAGAAACCAGAGAATCCTCCACGACCCTGCCACCCCCTTCATTGAGCCCCCACGTCATCCTTTCAAAATTGAAGACCATGGCACAGCCCTCACTGAAGGTCGCATCAGTGCCAAAAAACGTCATCAAGATGCCTACCAAGCGGCTTTCGAGACCCATCAAGCCACTCTCACTCCTGCTGAGCAGTCACACCTCAATCGCAGTCGTTGCACTGGCTCCTGGCTTGCGGTCATGCCCGATATTGCCAAACGCACTCACCTCTCTGCTCAAGAATGGCGCGATGCTCTTTTTCTCCGGTTCGGTCTTGCCCCCCCAGCTCTTCCAGCTCTTCCAGCTCTCTGTGATGGCTGTACTGGTCCCTTCAGCGTTCCACATGCTTTGGATTGCAAACGTGGCGGCATAATCATCCGTCGCCATAATGAAATCCGCAATGAACTTGGTTCTATTGCGTGTGAATGCTTTGGTTCCTCTAGCGTCCAGTCGGAACCTCCCCTTCCATCTGGTCCCGCCCCTACTATCCCTGCCGGTCACCCAATTTTCACCTTACTGCATTACCTCCCCTTCCTCCCCCCCTCTCAACCCCCCGAGCTCTTACGTGGTGATCTTTCCATTCTCGGCTTGTTCGAACGTGGTACTACAGCTATTATTAAGTTAATGTCATTGATTTGGACTGTGCCTCTTACCAAAACAAAGATCCCGTCAAAGTGTTAACCCAACAAGAACGCGACAAAATTTCCAAATATAAAGCAGCGTGCGACTCCAATCGCGCTTCCTTCCATCCCTTTGTTGTTTCTGTGGATGGCATGCTTGCCCCCCAAGCCAAGATTCTCTTACAACGGCTTGCTTCTGCTACTGCCTCCAAAACTCAGTTTTCCTACTCTCAAATGATGTTTTTCATGCAGACCCGTATCTCAATTGCCCTTGTGAAAGCTACCCATTTATGTCTCCGTGGATCTCGCAAAGCCAAACCATTTGGCCCCCGTACTGGTCCTCACTTTCTTGCCCCTGATTCCACAGAACCTAGTCCTGAATTTCGACTGTTCTTTGCTTAAGTCTGGCCCCGGCTGGCTTCCGTAGATAATTTCCCTACTCTAATCCCCCCCATTGAAGAGAATCGATGATTCGATAGGGTAGCTCTCTAGCTTTAAAGCTACCGGTAGCTAGCGAGCAGGTTTCGATTACATGTATCTTAATTAAAAGTGCTCCATTGAATCCCTTTTCGAAACTCGAAGGGCATGAAGACATTAAATGCAACTCCCGAGTGACTAAGGAAAACTTCAACTCGGGAATTGAACAGAAACGCGAACACTCGTACCGATACAATCGTACCCCAGAGACTCACAGGACAACATCACCCAGCAATCCCAAATCAAATCTTCGAAACAAAACAAAAAAGATGTACACTGATGGTTGGAGGTGTCCTTCATCTCACAATTCCAACAGGCTCACAATCTGAAGCACACAACCAAACAAAGGAAACAACAGTTGCCCTCACTTGCCCAAACCAACCCAAAGCGCACCATGAAACTCTGCTCTTGCTCTCTTGTTTGCCTCGGCCATCCCTGCGACAATACCATTGTGCATTGATTAATCTAGGGATCTAAGAGATGTAAAGTTTGTATTTCCAAATAAGTGAGCTGAGCAGTTATTGTTATTATTTTCTAGAATAAGCCTGCTAATGTAAAGCTGTAAAGCTGAATTGTAAGCTGTTATCCCGTCGCACCCCTTACAGCTGAAATGAAGCTGAGCAAGAAACGATAGGAGAGAGTCCCCAGCAAAGTGCTGAGGTAAATTACCATCCCATGAGGAGCTTCGAATGACAGCAAACTGTGAGCCGGAAGACCCTTAGTGAAAATGTCGGCCCGTTGTTCCAGAGTCGGAATATACTTAGCCACGTGCCCTTCGACTCCCCGATATTGGACCTGAAGAAGTGGTACTTCAATGCCAAATACTTGTTGCGCGCAGACATTTGGGAACATTCACAAGAGACAAGCAACCTTGGTTGTCTTCGAACACTGTAAGCGCACAAGACTGTCAGTAATTACGGCATATTCAGTTTGCTACCAATTTCTTTGAGCAAAGCTCGCATAGGAAGCAGCTCCCTCATGACATGCTGAAGGCAACATACTCGCAGCAGTGGAGCTCAAAAGTAATATCAGTCTTAGCTTGCTGGAC